AGTCTCCTGGGCTATGGACTACGCTGGGACCACTTGGTCCGATGTATTGGAGGTTTGAAGGTGCACGACGGGAGGGGCCTCCCCCGCACCTACGTGTCCGATAAAACGGTCGACCCGCCCTGACAAATAAAGGAAAAGAAATCTCCGATAGAGGTAGGCCACCCCCCCCACCTGTGAACCACCTCCATTTCTGGCGATTCGGTGCTTGTGAATGAGCCAGGTATTCGGTCATGATTGTGCAGGCAGGCATGGGGCGCACCGATTTCTCCTGACAAGCACAGCAGACAGTGTTGCTTCTAGACCGACACGCCGATCTTGGAAAATCCGAGAAGAACTCAGAATTTTGGCGACAGCTTGCTCGGGGGAAGCAGCTGTTATTGTTGGCACGCTTTTGCGTTGTCGACTGCTTGCTCGGAGGAAGCAGCCGTAGAGTCGCAGACTTGGAGTTGAGGGGAGAGGGGCAGCGACTCTCCAATTGTTTGTTTCTTCTGGGCAAGCTGTCGACAACACGAAAGCCTGCCCGAGGTCTTGCTCCGGTTCTAAAGATCAACGTGTAGGTCTAGTAGATTCTAGCAGGTGTAGTAGCAATACTGTCCGTTGTGCTTGCCAGAAGAAACCAGCGTGTAGGTTTACCCATGCTGTCCCCTGTGCCTTCCATGAACATCGGCATACCAATCTTTCGATGCAAGCCTGCAGCATCATGACCGAAAGGCATGCGCAGACACTCATCTGAACCTGGCTCACTCAAAGAAGAACCATACATGGGGGGATCTACAGTTCGGGGGGGGCTAGATCACAGCAGACAAGCCCGACAGTGTTTTCTGCGCATGCTCATCGAGTGTTGCCCAAGTGGTTGTGCCTGACCAGCAGCCGTGTAAGACACAAGGACGGGATTACGCAGGGATTATACAGGGATATTTAGGGATTCTATTGCAACAGCGGAGATTCATGGAGAAGAGAACGGAGCAGAGTTGAACAGAGAGTGGGATTGTCTGGTGGTTTATGACGTTAGGGTGCTTTACCTCTGACTAGCAGGGACTGAAGGCATGGAAGCCTGTTTGTTACTAGGTTCTGTAGGGACACTCGGTCTAAGATCGATCAGCATGCACGAAAAAAAAACGGCTCGCTTGCAGTGATCTAGCTTTCCTCCGCGCTGCTCTCAAGTTGATATGCATGCTTATTGCACATCGTTTTTTCCTGCCTGGCTATTGCAGATTTTTTTCCATGCCTAACACGCGGCACGCGGTCTACTTGCAAAGGTTGTTGTCCATCTTTGCCAGGATTTTTTGTCAGTTGGGTACCACGGACGGTACCAGTGTTTCTCACACACAAAGTGGTGGACGCTCACCTCCGGCCCAATGTGCCAGCATTCTGCCATTTCCGGAAGCATGACTGCACCAGGACCTAGATGAGGCTGGTGAGCGCTGGACGAAACGGTCGTCCAGGTCACTTTACGATGATCCTGAGCCACCGGAAAATCCGGAACCTTGAGGCGTCACCTCTCACTCCAGTGGATGTAGTGGTTGTAGTGCAGGTGCCACAAAGATGCGCACTGCATGCCTCCTAGTTTGCAATGGCAGACAGCACCCCTTTCTCGAACCAACAGAAAGCCAGCAGCTGCCTTTCCATTTCTTTGCGTCGGACTTCCTGGAATTATGCAGTCACGTCACGCCTACATGACTTGCAAGGGCACCACCTTTTTGACAGTGAGATAGGAAACCAGCACCTGATGTCCTGCTTCCGGAGCCAGCATCACCACTTCCTTAAGCCACTTGTCCTCTGCGAACATCCTGCAGCTAAGCCGATCTGTCACCCCAGCCCTGCACGGGGGAAGAAGCTCATATGTAGACCCTCTAAGGCCGAAGTCAACAACGTTTACCAGCAGAAGCAGCCTGTTGCAGTTGGCAAAGTCCTCAGACTACTCCGTGTGTGCGATGTTGGCCCATCGTTGGCAATCGCATTGACCCTACTTCACATCGCAGCCTATTTACAGGGGCTCCACAAACTTGCAGAACTGGAAGGGAAGTCAAACTTACAATAATTTGCTTCCTATAGCAGGAAAAAGGAATCCGTAACACGTATGTGGGAATGTTTTTTTACAAGTGGGCCGTAATGTCTGCAGCTATGTTGTTGTGCATGGACAAGTGCCAGGCAGCCCACCGACATTGCATGTCAGGATCGGCATCTTAGAGCACAGACCTCAGAATACAGGGAGCTGCTTTCGGCGCTCAGCATTGCCAAGTGCAAGCGCTAGCAGCGTGAACAAAAGGATTGGAGACAGGGATGCGATGAGACCAACGGCAGCATGCCACATAGCCTCAACCTCCCAGCCAAACCTCAGGTTTGAAAACTTTGGCTTTGGAGGCCCTGGCCTGCGCGACGCCAAGCATGCTGGATTCTCTCAACGGTTGCCAGCGACGTTGAGCGTGTGACAGTAAGGTTTGAGACCAGCGGCTTTCGCATCATGTTGCAGACGGGTGGACGCGCACCTGTGAGCACCAGACTGACTGGGAGCTACGGCTTGCTGATGTCCTTCTGGCATGGCATGCAGTGATATGCTGGGAAACGCTGAGGGTGGTCAGACAGTCAGCCTGCCACAGCACAGCAGGCCATGGCCCAGAAGACCAGCCTCTGTCCCAACCAGTATCATGACATGTCTTGAGTCAGGAGCTCAAATACAGCAAAGTCATCTCCAGCGATGGGAGATATTCAGCCAGACTCAGCTGCGCATTCGACGAGGACTTCTTGCGTGCGAGCTGGTTCTAACTGGGCATCCATATCTTAGAAAAGGTTGTGCAGGGCCGTGTTCTGCAAGAATGCGTGTGTGATGTGCCAGGAACTAACCCTGTCTGGCACTCGGTGGCTACGGGCGCTGCGGCACTGACAGGATGGATTGAACACTCCTTGATTTGACTAGAGTGTATGTAGCAAAGGCGAATGTCTCCTGGCCAGCCTGCAGAGATGCTAAGATCTCAGAGCTTCTCAGGCTTTCTCTTAGCCCTCAAAAACCCTCGCTGTTCCAGGCTTTGCGTTGACGTGTGGCTGGAAAGCCGTACCTTTGTTGAGCGCCTGGACAGCTTTCTGGACATGGCCATGGGCCCAAGAGATGAGAAGCTAACGGCTGGCACAATCCAAGCAAAGGCTGGTGATGTTTTGCTTCAACCTAGTCATTCCCTTGCCTGTTGTCCTGCAAGCGTGGCTCAATGCAGCAGGGGTTTCCGGTTGCGCAGCAAAATGTTCCAAGCTGATGGCTGCACAAGGCATCTGCATGCTCTCCGTGCCGCTCCGTGGCTTCGCGATGAGCCCAGCGCTGAGCAGCCGAAGAGGCGCAAAGCCCCTCGCCGGGGCCGAGGCAGGTCAGCCGAGGCCATCTTGAAAGAGCAGAAGCATCATCTTGGCATCACCCTCATTGCTTAGAGAGACGCGTTATGGTTTAAAAAGAGCTGCTTTGTACCCCCCTTGATCAGGCTGTCCTGAAGGCACTGGTGGTCTTGGGACCCCATCCCCGGCAGGCTGACGTCTTCGGTGCTTGCAGGCCAGCGTTGGCCTCCTGGGAGAGGAATCCCAGGGCTACTACGTCTGTCTTGGTTGGACTGGCAAGGCGTGGCCTGTGGGATACAGCTTTGAAGGTGACTCGTTTCATGGAGCACTGTGGCCTTGAAGTGAATTGCTTCCACTTCACCAGCGTCATCAGTGCATGTGAGAAGAAGGGGAAGTGGGAGATGGCCTTGACGGTTCTTGGCCGCATGAAGGAGGAGGAGATACTGCCGAGTGAGGTCACGTACAACGCTGCCATAAGTGCTTGCGCGAAGGGAGACGCGTGGCCGGCAGCACTCCAGCTATTGGAGGAGTTGCGTATGGATGGATGCATGCCGGATTCCATTACGTATAATGCAGCTAGCAGTGCTTGCGCAGCTGCCGGCCTTTGGAATTTGTCCTTGATTCTTCTTCAGGACATGTACGAGTCTACAGTGCCTGCCAACTCTATCACTTTCAGCACTCTCCTGAGTGCCTGCAACAATGCCAAACAGTGGCAAAGGGCAATTAGCATCTTATTCGGCATGCCAGCTCAAACATGTATGCCCGACAAGATTTGCTACACTGCTGTTATAAGCGCATGTGAGAAGGCAGGTGAGTGGAACAAGGCGCTCGGCTGTTTCAGCCACATGGATGTGCACACAGTAGAAAAGGATGAAATCTGCTTCAACAGCGCAATCAGTGCCTGCGTGCGTGCTCGTTCGTGGAGCCAGGCGTTAAGGCTTGCTTTGGAAATGGAGGCAGTGCCTATCGCAGTGAATGGAATTCTGTGGGGTGGCGTGTCCACTGCCATGCAACAGAGCAGTCAGTCAGTTGCCCTACTGAGCTCCCGGCTTTGTAGGGAATGGGCGTCGCAGCAGCGAACGAGCCACACCAGCCTGGACTTCGTGGCTTCTAGACTCGGGGCTGATGAGTCTGAGCATGAGGTGCAAGTGCTTTGCCAGGCCAATGGCGTGCTGGCCGCCTTTAAGCCAACCGGACTCAGCAGTGAAGCGGCCCTACAAAGGCTCTCACATCTTTTATCCTTGCAGGGTTACAAAGGGCAGCTCTCGCGCGCATCACGGCTGGATGGCACGGAGCCTATCCAAGCAATTCTTGCATCGTGCAGTGATTGTGTGCTTTTCTATTTTTATTTGGGCATGACGCTCTCCCAAGGTGCCACTTCAGGTGTGATGCCTGTGGCCTTGGGTGAGCCTGGCTCACCTGCGGCCAACTGGTTGAACTATCAGTTTGCAGCGCGCATGGTCACCTGGCACGGTTGTCAAGGTTTTCAGCTGACAGCAGAAAAGATTGAGTGGCAGGGTCTGAATCAAGACATATCAAGACCTGTAGAATCTGTAGAGGGACCCAGCACTGCCGCTAGCTGCCCCTTACATGCGGTCACATATGTGGATTCAAGATGCTTCAAGTGCCATCCTGTTGATTCGCTTGAAGGTATCCAAGGAGTATGTCTGCCTTTGTGCGGGTTTGCCACTGGGCTCGCGAGGCACACAAGGCCGAAGGGTTCAGCGGTGTAGCTGAGCAGAACGCACAAGGAACTGGGGGTCTTGAGACATCTTTGTGCGGGCTTCACAGCCAATCCACTCATGGAAGGCTCCAAACATGAGGTTTGGAGCATCCTGTCACTGTCGTGCAGGCGTTGTGATCGCCGGCCTGGCTACCCAGAGGATGCAAGCTTCACAGTTGAAGGTAGCTTGGACCAGCAGCGGCAAAGAGGTGCCCGCACAGTGCATGGATGGGCCCGTTTTTCATGCCTTGATGGCACTTGGAATTTGACTTCATGGGAAGGCACGAACGGAGTACGAGGTCGGAGACCCTCGATTGCAAGCAAGAGCTTTCGGATACAGACCGCCTGACTGTGAAGAGCATACGAAATTTGCGCCTGAAGCTGCCTAGGAGGTCTTCAGCCTGCCCGATGATGTGGATGCCTTGCACGCTGATTCCGTCCTTATGCTACTGCAGGTGAAGCCTCTCACAGGCTCCTGCCTGAGCTTTGACAGAGTTTTTGCACATCTTGGAATCTGCCAAGTTTTGTGAAGCTGGAAGCTGCCGCCAGTTTCAGCTTGTGGCTGAATCCGTGAACTCCGATATTGAGGTCGAACGCATCAGATCCGCTCGCATCTAGCTGGCATTGGTCGACCCATTGTCGGCGATCGGGCTTACGACGCATGGCACCACCTTGGCCCGTAATTGTTGCAGTGTATACAGGTTGGTGCAACCAAATTTGCCAGGGTGAAGTTGTTGGGTGGCCTCAGGAAAGGGATCCTACCCGAGGCAGAAGGGCTGCGTATGATGCGGCGAATTTCCTGTCCTTAGGTCTTCAGCTTGAATTCATGAAAGGAAGATAGGGAGGAACTAGAGTCACTTCAGAAGTATGTCTCAGGATGGCCTTGCACCCGGCTGGTGCCCACGTGACTTGCCGATCTTTAGCAGCCTTTGTTCGCCTTTGAATCTCACGAAGTGCTCAGGGTGTTGCTGAGATGCATGCACGACACAGAAGATGTAAATCACGGGTCGTTGATATTTGTCCAGGTCTCTTCTTGCACTGCCGGCGAATCTCTGTTCGAGATCTTGACAACATGCTCTTTGAGCCAGTGGCGCCCCTTGTCTGGATCACCCAGCTTGTCCCTTGAAGCTTGTAACGTTGATTGACGGAGTCCTTCCCCACACATCTGTTGGCAGCTGAGGCCACTGCCTTGCCAATTGGAGTCGGCGCTTGAAGTTCTGAGGAAAAGAATTGCCGAGTTTGGCTTGGGCGGAAGAAACTACATGTCCTTGTCCTGGGCAGAAGGGGGAGCCCAAAAGGATAGCATCGGCAGTGCTCACCTTGCAGTGCCTGAGCAACAGCAAGCCCCCAATCCTGCAACCGAAGGATTCGCAGGCAATTTGATTTTTCGCGCATGTGGACTCAGGTTGGGCTGGGGAGTAACCTCCCGGAGTTTGACCACCGCTTTTTCGGCCGCATCATGGCGAGCATTCCGTGTTGCCGCCCGCATTACGGGCTCTATGTTGAAAATGGTAGAGGGGCATGTGCCTGGTGACTGCGATCAGCATCGGCTTGCTGAATTGATGAAGTCTGTCGTTTTTGAAGCTTCAGTCTTGGAATTTCAGTGTGGCGCAATATAGATGGCATGCGCCAGGCCTGCCGATGTGGAAGCGGTTCAGCAAAGCTATCCGGTTCAGGCCGGAATCTGTTTAAGCCCTCAGTCGTCCTTGGTTGTGGGAGGATGTTTCCAGATTGCCTTAGCTGAAGGTCAGCCAGAATTGCAGTGGGCCCCGGCCGAAGCTGCTGCAACCTCCTCAGCTCGAGGTCCAGTCCGCAGCGGTGAAACAGCCCGAAGGGATTTATTATTATGATTTATTGATGCCGATCTGCTTGCACCGTTAGGTCTATCGGAATGCGGTGGGCCCCCTAGGATGAAATGCCAGCCATCAAAGGATGGCTGGCATGCAAATTCACGGTTTGGAGAAAGCATCTAGTTTCCAGTTAGTGCCCAACGTGGCAGACCTTGCAGGTTTTGTGTGTCTGTTACAGTATGTCAAGAAATTTGATGAACATGTGTTCTACAGACAGACGATGACCTGCGTGCAATGCATAGATGACGCGCTCAAAGATCAAGACGCTGGCTATGTGCAGAATCACCGAGCACTCGGTGCGCAAATGTCCTGACAGGTCTGATGAGTGTTACCTTGCGGAAAATGGGCAGTGTCAGACTCTGCACAGGTGTGCATGTGTGTGTGTGTGTGTCAAAGGCGAGGTTCATGCATGTGCAATTGCAAGCAGCTTTCTTCGAAATAGCTTCATTCCAACCGTCTCACCAGTGCGGATTTGTCGTCAGCAGAAGCACATCAGTTATGCAATAGTCATCCCTTGCGCAGCAGCTAAGCAGTCCACGGATGGCTGGTGCCATCAGGACCACATCTGAATGAAGCTTGAACCCCTTGTGACGTGCCCTGATGCATACTGCGGTTGCCGCTGCGCTGGCGGCTGACAAGCGACTGCACAATGCTGAGCGTGGCGTGCTGATTGCGAGGCTGCGGCAAAGCACTGGTAGCCCGAGCTCGGACGGGAATTTCCATTGTCAGCCTATGAGGTCCAGGAACATGGCTGGACCTGAGATGATCTGATATGGCCATAGCGCGTATGCCGGGCCAGCTGGTTGTTGCAGGGCTGGTTACACGCGCAAGAACAGGCCAGTTTTGAGCTACCTGTAGTTCGTGCTAATAGAAGAAGTGCTCGGCTAAACGCCTCAGGCAAGTTGAGCAAGCAACTGTGAACTTTTGTTTGATTGGGCTCCAGCGCCTGTTGAGCTTAGTACAGCGCTGCTCCTTCGTCGCAAGCTCATTCCTGCGCCTCATTGCTTGTGCCTCAGACGGCCCGTCAGTCACTAGTCAGCAGTTATTGGCCGCATTGACTGAGCCTTACTTATGGTACATGGTTTGCTTAATGTTGGATCCCTGCTCAACTCTCTCAGGACATGGGAAACTCGGCGTGCTGCACGGGTGCCGAGGTATGGAGTGACAAAGTATACACTTCGGTCTGCAGATCGATAAGTTCGCGGGTTGGCAGCCATTTGAAGCTGAACTTCACAGAGCTGACAGTAGGCCAGCGCAGAGAACGAGCAGAAAGAGCTCACCCGCAAGGACGCGGCGGCTGTTTTGTCCTCCAGGGATCGCTGCATTTGTTTCTTCAGGAGGCTGTTCCAGGCGCACCTGATCTTCCAGGACAGGGCTGTTGAATCCGGGACACCCCAAGGAACCCTTGAAGGTGAGGGGCACTGATAGGATCAGAGGGAGGGACAAAGCTCCTTATGTTACAGTGCAGATTTGGGAAGCGGAAGGGAAAAACAGTGGAGATCTGGGCATGTTCCAATTGGTGCTTCGAGGCCCTGACGTGGCTGCACCAATTGCGGCGCAGGCCTTTGCTGCACACCCCTCTGGGCATGGATTCTGGTGTGCTTGGGGAGGCTTCGCCCGGCGAGTATTTAATCCAGCTCGACAAGTCCACCGGAGCTAAACTGGGCATCGACGTTGACCACAAGGATGCATGAGATTTGGAGTGGCCGCAGTAGTGCTGGTGCCGATTGGAGAGCCGGATATGTCTGGGGCGTGGCATCAGCAGCCATGCCTGAAGGATGGCGAGACACTCCTGATCGAGGTCATCAATGAGGGCCTCGTGATGGACCCGAGCTTACGCTCTCCCTGCTTCAGCTGCCAGGGTGTAAGCTCCGAAATGCGCTTACTGCATTGCTTGAGGATTGGAACAATGCCAATAGCAAGGTCCTGTTGTCTTGTGTTGGTCTTGCAGCTGTTGTGTCTGTTGGCGAGTAAGGGCCTAGCTATGCTTCGGCGTCAGCTGTCACAGCATCTGTGAAGCTCGGGCATCCTGCTGCGTGGCTGCTTGGGCTGCTCCTGTCAGGACAGGGTCACGGTCGGGGATCGGATTGTCGAGGTCAACGGCATCAACAAGGACCGCTTGCTGTTTGCATGTAGGAACAAGCACACACGTGCTGGGGAATTTGTAGAGACGTTTCGTGTGCCCAAGCCTCTTCAGACGCCTAGGCCATGACTGAACAATGCTTTTTTCAGGATGTGCTCCAACTTGTGGACGAGTGCAAGAAGAACCAGGTCCGGCACCGATGCACTGCAACTGCTGAGTGTGTGGAAGCTTGTCGTGTACTCCCGTCCTTTGAAGCGCATCCGATCGCTACAGCCGGCATTTCAGATAGGCTGGCATGACACCTGAGAGCAGATGGTGATATTGCTAACAGTTGCGGATGTTCATAGTGCTAAATCCACATAGGGCCATGTTAATAGTCATTGCAAACACCAGTTTGGATTCGCTTCAGCGGAAGGAGCAGGGAGGACGACGCGCGGCAAGTTTGTAGGAAGCCTGCTAGCTTGGCATCATGTCTGCAAGGGCGCGGAGGATTTGTAGAGAACCATGAAGGGTCCTACATGCGCAGAAAGACGCAGGAGAAGCAGGCTCCACCCAGCGTTTTTGGGGACACCTCGCACCAAAGTGGGAGAGGGATGTTCGGGGTCTTGGGGGCTGGCGTGATTTTGGAAGACAAGGAAAGGGGGAGGCAAATCTGCACATTCCAGAGGCTTGTTAGCTGGAAACCAAAACCGAGTGTGAGGTGTTGACCCTGAAGCTGCGCCGCGGGCAAGGACCCCAGCTGAAACCACCGTGCCCGCAGCTTCCTCTGGATACGCTTTGCAGCTTTTTAGGAGTAGAGAGAAGCTACTCAACCGCTCAGCCACGAGAATACAAGCACTGGTGATGGAAGTGATTGTGTTGCATGACAGGTAGATGCAAAGTAAGTCAGGTTGGGCTAAAGCGGCCAAAGCATCTCAGGCAATAGTTTCGACGCTGCTGCTGATGCTGTAACTTACAGTTGCCGCCTCAACAAGACTCGCTGCGCGAGGAAGGGGCAGGAGCGGGGCACACTGTGGTAGCAAAATCATATGGATTTTGCGGGTGTTGGGCACGTGATCTGTGCGGTGCGGAGGTGATTTACATGTGGAGTTCTTCAAAGCTTGATGCTGAATGCCAATAGTAGACTTGCCAGACGCACACCAGACAGCTGAAAGCCTGTTGGGGGTGTCTGGCTTCAAGACTTTTTCAGCTGTGGCACCTCAATGATGGCCTGTTCATCTAGCTTGTGCTAGGTATGCTCTGAGATTAGGCTCTTGATCTGCGCATCTTGTCACGGTCAAATGTGCCACTAGCCGGAGCAATGGCTGCCGGCTAGCTAAACGCTCTCTATCCTTGTCTCGGGGAACTTTTTTTGGCTCAAAAGTCTAGTATAATACTTTAATGGCAGAGGTCTTTGGACTCTTTGATGAATGCATATGTATGCCAAGGATGCACCTGTTTGGAGTTGCCTTGCTAGAACAGAATGAGCAGTCGCGGAAATGGGTGGCAAGGCTCCAGAGTCTTGTGGCAAGCCTTTTGGGCCAGTCTATTTGTTCAGAACCAGCCTTCGACCGCCCATGCCGCCGGCATAATTCGCAGCTTTGTTCTTTGAACTGGCTTCAACACCAGGCAGACCACAACCCATGGCCTGGTCGTGCGGGGCAAAAGATTGAAAGTTGCGACTGCTTTCCGATGCAACTGACTGCCAATGCTCTCACTTGCCCGCAAACTCGTGCCAGGTCGCAAGCTGCACAAGGTGGGCAGAAGTCACTTCTTCAGGCCTGGCGCAGTACTTCGTCTGAACTCATGCCATGAAGCTGCATGTCATGGATGTGTTGTGATTGTCCTTCCGGTTCTTCGCAGGATCCGTGGCTCTTTTCTTAGGAAGTGTTGGCTTTTGGTTGGCGTTTAGGGGCCGGATGCTCGCCTCCCGCGGTGTTGGTTTCATCGCGCTCAACATCCAGCGCCCTGCTCACACAAGGATCGGCTGAGTTCACCCGCAAGGCTGAGCCATGGTCACCCGTAGCTGCAAGCCAAGGTGTGAGAACGAAGAGAAGTGGTTCCGCAGATGGGAGGAGGAGCGGGCAGAGATGCAAAAAGCTGAAGCCGAGGCCCAGCGTCGGGTTCAGAGGCTACACGGGTCTGTCAGCTACAGGGGCTGAAGACACGAGTTGCATTCAGGCAATTTGTTGGTGAGTCTTCTCTGGTGCGTCTGGTTTTGAAGAATGTGAAACACAATAGAGATGATGAAGGGATACTAAGCAATGACCAGGCAATTGCGAAAATGGAGGCGCTGCTGCAGAGCCAGAAGTCTGAAGCTGATGAGGTCAAGAGCTTGTCTGAGAAGAGCCGCCCCCCAACGGGTTCTGCCAAATCGAACAAGTCGGCGAAGTCGACTGCATCGAGAGCAGGGTAGGGGGGCGAGCCATTATCGAATTGTACCACTGAGACATATGCCAAGGCTTGAGCCAGGGCAGTGTTCAGACATGTTTAGACGTGGTAGCCCATTGCATCAGAAGGGAATCAGCATGGTGCCGCATCAGCTGGCAGTGGTATTCACATTTACGCGACCATGATTTTTGAGTTCAGTCTGGGCCAGACATGTTATCATTTGCGATGCGTTGGGTGTCTGTGCTGATGCTGTCTATGGGTGTGCCTGTGAGCCCTTACAGTCCGCCATGTTGCTCCCATAGGACTTAAGAGCCAGCTGAGCCAGCTAGCAATCCAACACGGGCTTGCCCGCTTTGGCAGCGTGAAGTTTGAAGGCAAGCAGGCAAGCCGAAGCTCAGAGAAGTGCAGGTAAGGATCCTACCCCTCGAGCTGTTGTCTTCGCGAGCTTTGTTTTGCTGGTGGGTTTGGAGCTCCTTGCTACGCTAGTTCATTTGAGCTGAGTCACTTCACTAGGCGTGCCATGGCGTGCCGCACGCAAACCAGTCCTGTCCAATTTGAAAAGGCAAAGCCTCCTTTGATGGATCATTTGTGCATAGCTCCTTCCTTGCCCAGCCGGCAATTGCCCCATGGACTAGCTTTGATTTTTTTCGCGGCGTGCCCATTCACCCCTTGTGATCTTGACAACAGCCGAGAAAACTCTTGCTTGAGAAAACTCTTGCTTTTGGGGGGACCACGACGCGCGGCAGACTCGCCTATTCAATTGTTTGTGGCAGACGTGGACGCTTGAAGCAACTGTTCTGTTGGCGTCAAAATACAGGTTTAAAGCTGGAGCATGTTGCTTCCATGGCTGCTTTGTTGTGACATGCCAAGATAATTTCAGCAGCATTTTCTGGGAGACGAAGCATGGGGTACCATGCTTTACCGAGAAGCCTGTGCAAGGTCAACCAGCATTGCGGAGCTCCAGCTTTGCTAGAGGCTGCGCTCGACGGCTGACAGAATCAGTGGCAAAAAGTTCGTGCGGCAGTGCTCCATGTCACTGTGGCCTGTCCACCTGAAGCCTCTATAGTGTTTATAGTATAGGTCACCCCTACGTAATGGTCAGGTAGTGGATTTGATAGGCGCTGGTCAGGCTTAGCTCGCAAACCGCCACAAGCGACTGTGTTTGCCACAACACTCCACAAAAGCAATGCAGACACGCCTCATAACCTCTGCCGGTTCTCACTGTTAGCCACGGGGTAGAAGAAGGGGAAGAGCCTTTCTGCTGTGAAGATGCTGCAACGCGGCACGCCGCGGAGCCTACTTGTTTGAATTAGGCTGTGATGGAGTGCCCTTCAGTCTTGCAAAGCCTGAGGGAGTTCCAGATGCAAAAAAGGCTGAACGGACACTGCGCCGACGCCTTTGAGACCTGAACTGACGGGAGCCCATGCCTCATTGGTACCTGCGTCTCGCCAGGGGCCGGTCCAAGCCGTCAGAGTTTCTCAGCACGTGCCGGGCCCATGCTCACAATTGCTTGGGCTTGGGGGATCGGGGGTTCCAGCGTTTCCGTCTCTGAGCTTTTGCAAGATGGTGCGGCCACAAGTTGCCTTGGCACATGTCGCTTTCTGCGACTTTGCCTCCAAAGCGCTCAGGCCAGCGAGGCAGGCCAGGCGACTCTCACACGGCAGCGCTTGTGGCAGCCCGCTGGTGTGGCAGGCGGCCAGCAAGTTGAGGGTATTTTCAGAGCGTTCAGTGACTTGGTGGGCAGCTGTAAACTTACAGTTTAGTAGCTATGACAGAGGCGTTGAGGAGAGAAACAGAAGGGGTGCTGCACGCCAGACTTCGGAGGTGCAGAGCCCGGCCATGATGGAAGATCAGGCCTGTCCAGGGTTTCGAGCATTTTTAGGCCCTGACATTATGCCCTGGCAAACACGTTGGCCCCGGGCACTCTGCAAGGTGCTACGACAATGTCCTACTATGTCCTACTCCTACTATCCCGTACTGTGGCAGGGCAATGATTTGCTGTTTACCATCCTTCTCTGACATGCATGTGGCCTCGGCGTCAGGAAGCTAGGGCTTCCGTTTATGCCTTCACAGAAGCGCTTACACGCATCGACCCCATCAAGCCTTTGTAAATAAAGCTTGTGTTTGCCTGTAAAGCCAAATTATTCCTGCTGAAAGTTTTCAACGCCACAAAGCCCTTTCGACCGGATTCCATCAGGCCCCGTGTAGCACGAGCATGCAGCGTAGAAAATGCTTGTATGTGACCCCTCGCAGACTGTGTCAATAGGAAGTCATCAACGTTCTCCTTGTAGACCGCGGAGCAACTGCTCGATACAGCTTTGCTCAGCATTTGTTCTGAATAAGTTTGCAAGATTTTGCAAGCATTTGGGAGAAATTCTCCTTTGCTAATCCAGGTGTTCAGCCACTTCGCCTCACCAGAAGCCGCACCATGCAAAGGCCGAAGACAGTATTTGCGTACTTGCGTTTTTCAACTGGCTACGTTTCTGCGGTCCAAGAATGAGATAAAGAAGGAAATTTAAGGTAACCAACGCCTGAGTGTCTCACGTGTACATGTGGAATGGCAGGAATGCTTGGTATGGGCCAGCCGTGCCAAGCCTGGCACAACGGGTGAATAGCATGTCTGTAAGGTTTTGCAGGGCGTGTCAGTCTTGCAATGCCAGCGCAGCCGTAGTAAGCGATCTGCACGTTGAACTTCCTTTATCCGCATGTATCCGCTGCTGCCGTCCAAGTAGGTTCCCCTCCCAAGGCCGCGGCACTATGCCTGACCCAAAAAGCAACAGCAATGGAGAAACCGCGCATACGTCGGAGGCATCCGACCGGGCTACGACCATCCAGGATAGCCCTTTGCACGAGTCTGAGGGCCCCACTAAGGAGGAGAGCGAGGCAAAGTCCGAGACCGACAATAATGAGAATAATGAAACGCGTCGGAGCTCACGGAGAACATCCTACAACTTCACCGCCCTCGCAGGTGAGTTCGGGGCAGCCCTGGCGCAGACAGCAGTGAACGTGGGCAGGGAAGCTGGCGAGCTGCTTGGTCTGAGGTATAAGGTTGCTCTAGGCGAGATGCAGAGAATTGTAGCAATAATCAGTTCATGCGCATTGAGAAGGCGAGCTATAGGCCTCGTCCATAGTTCATGAAACACAATCCAAGGCTGGGTGGGGCCCTGGCCACCTCTGCAGCATACACTGCTGCAAACATGAGAACACTGGCAAGCGGTGTCAGTGAGTACACGGAAGGCATGTTCGGACCGTCCGAGTCTGTATCAGGGAGGTATTCTAAGAATGCTCGCACAGACGAAGCGAGTTTCAATCAGTTCTTGGACCAAGTGATCAAGGCACATCTTCAGTCTGGAGCTGATGGTGAAGAGCCTCTCCACAGAAGAGGGATGAGGCGCAACTTGACTGGGATTCTGGAAGGCGCTGTGTCTGGTGGATTCTTCCAGAAGTGTCCGAAGATGCAGGCCATGTGTTACAAGGTCTGCGCCCGAATTGAGAACTCCATGCTCTTCGGACTTCTTTGCTGGACATTCCTTCTGCTCCATTGCATAGCACTTGTTCAGGTGGCCAACAAGCAAGGCAGCCCCGAAGTCTGGTATGCGATTTCGCAAAGTTACATGGTTTTCTTTATCTTCGAGCTTCTTGTCCGTATTGCTGCTACACCATACAGATTCTTCTGGCAATCCGGATTTGTTGTGTTGGACATTGTCCTGGTAATGACGGCAGTTGTCGAAGCAATACTGCCATTGATGTCTGATCAGCTGGGGCAAGGGCAATTCACCCTCCTCACCCTTCACGTTCTTCGCTTTCTGAGAGGAGTGCAGGCGCACATGCCAGAGGCAGCGAGTTCTGTCACAGCTTGCTTCGGAGGCTTGCTCCCCATTGTCTACTTTCTGCTTCTTTGCTTTATTTGGAGCTTTCTGGCCGTAGTTTGGTACCTTGTCTTCAGCAACAATGTTGTCGAGCCGAAGCAGTTCGCCGACTTCGGATCATCGTCACTGAACCAGTTCTATCTTGCCTGTAATGCTCTGGACTGGGGCCGCATCACGCATCCTCTACACCAGGCTCATCAGCAAATGGCTTCAATTCTTGCAGTGATCTTTTGCGTGGTGCTTTTGGCTGTAAGCTTCTTAACGGCCAACGGAACTATCATCGTCTTCCATGAGCTGGCAGAGAAAGGGATTACCGATTATCGCAACTATGAAGAGTCGAAGCAGATGCGGCGAAGGCTTCTGGGTTTGTCCCGGCTTGAGCAATCCCTGCAAGATGCTGCCCGAAGCTTGGGCGCTGGGGGAGACTGGGCTGAGTGGTTGATGCAAAGTCGTCAAAATCTGGAGACAGCTCTCCCAATCCTCCAGCCAAACTTGGCGATGCTGAAGATCACAGCAAACGAAGTTCTGCAGCTCTACGACCATCTCTTTGAGGTCAGGCGAGTCCCAACGCCGACAGCCAGGGTTGGTGGAGTCTGTGTATAGACAGAGAGAAGAGTGAGCGACATGCTACTTATTACTAGCAAGGAGTCCTGCCGAGCCATTATTCTGAATTGTCAGAAGGTCACGCACGGCGCCCCGACGGTTTCGGAGCTTCTCTTCGGGATTCTTCGGATGATCAGCCCAAGTTCCGCTGCAGAGCTGCTGCAGGCGACGGGTTTCAGGTTAAGGCTTCATTGTGAATATGCGGCCTGTGTCGCAGAAGTAAAATGTGGGTACTGCAATGTAGGTTTTGGATAGCATGGATAGCCCACGGTAGCCTGATGATCAGAATGGAGATGGTGCCTTCTCAAACACAGTCCAGTTGCGTCCTGCTGCCTTACATTGCCTAGCTACAGTGAGGTGACTTGTGTTCAAGAAGTCTGTCTTTGCCCCTGCTTCACATCCTGCATGATTCTCCTTCCCCTTTGCGAGTTGTCCTGTTGGGCTGGAAATGGCTGCTATGAGCTGGTTCACATGTGATTTCAGGTGGACCACCTACAAAAACAATGCTGCTTGGCGTGGCATTGGCTGTTCTCACATGCCGGAAAGTTGTCGGGCCAAGCTGTTTTGTGTCGTGTGCCAGCCTCTTTTGAACTTGAGAAGCAAGCAGGGATCCAGAATCTAGCTGCAACTGGCCAAAGGTTGGAGGACAGCAGCAGGTCCATACTGAGGTCAGAAGGTCATCAAGGCCCCTGAGGTTTTTCAAACCGAAGTGTTGTGCAAGGAGGAGACACGGGGCCTCACAAAGTAATAAAGCAAGCCGACAGTTGCAACTGCAGAGCCCAGATGCAACAAGAAGTCATGACCGCACAGCCCCTTCCTGAACGCCATGTGAGTAAACCCGACCGTGCAACATCAAGGCCATGCTGTTAGCAAGTGTTGCAGTGCCCCGTCTTTAGGCGTGATTTCTTCTTCTTTGAACTTTCCTTGGGCACCCGAACTTGAGGAAGGGGTTCATTCGATCTTTCTTCTCAATGCTTTTGTTTGCTTTGGGCATGTGGGGCTCAAGGTGTGCAGCTTTCAGAAGCTTCGATGAGCAGCATGGAGCGCCAGCTGGAGCAGGGAGGACCCTTGCCACACGTCAAGCCCACTCCAAGGCGAAGGTAGCATGTTTTTGAATGAAGGAAATCACCTGGATGACATTGCCAGCAGTGTGTCAAAGCTGCAGCTGCAGCTCACGCAGCTGCGGTCTCAGGCAAGCACCGCACGGCAGGAGCTTCCAGCTTTCGGCCTTTCCATCCTGAGTTTTAGAAAACCGCGCCCACCTGGAGGAGCTTCAGCAAATGGTCGTGGAAGTGGAGCAGCAGTACCAGGATTGCATGGACAGTGTGAATCAGGCCTGCGCCCTAAAGCTTTCTGACTGTTGCTAGCAGGACGTCCTGATGCGGCATTGTACTCACAGTGCTCGTTTGTGAGTGAGTGGGTGGGTGGGTGAGTGAGTGAGTGAGTGAGTCAGCGCAGAGCGAGGGAGAGAGAGAGAGAGAGCGAGTCGGAACCCACCCCCGGCTTGAGCCAGGTGCCGCCATCGTTTATCAGACAAGTCGAGGAACTCCCTATAGCCCTTCCGGAGAGGCAAAAAGTTGGGAGCATGGCCACTACGGGGCGAGTGCCAGTCGGGTAGGGATAAGCCCCCGTTCTCAGGAAAGAGGAACCTTGGGCAGAGCTTTGCTGTCTTAGGGTAACTGCTTCGGGAGCTTCGCTTTAGACATACCGCTTTGGGATTCGTGGGCTGGTCAACATATTAAATTACACTTCGTCGGCCATGTCGGTACAGAAAGTGGTCAACCTGCGGCGGATCACAGGGCAGGAAACCCTTGGAGCGGTGTCGCGTACAGGCGCGCCCCTTCCCTTGCCATGTTCCAAACATCCTTTAACCGGGAGGGGCGGGCGTGGCCGGGGGAGGTTTGCGTAGCCGGCCCACCGCCAGGGGGAAACGAATGGACAACATCCGCACTCCGTTGAAATGAATTCAGGGTCAACCCTGAGCCAAGGGCAGTGGCGAGGTAATGAGCTTCCCATGAGAGGTGGGGTTCTCGTCTTCGCTCCAGCATGGGCCGGACCCCAAGCCCCTGCAAGCTTCATCTCAAATATTCCAAAGGCGTGCCGCCTACGTACAACAGCTGCGGCGGGCCGTTAATTCCAGCACGTTTTTCGCTGCCCTCCATTTGGAAGATGTCAGGGGCACAGCGCTCTTGACCTGAGACAAACCCTTTGAATACTCAATTGCAACAGTCAACCAACAGTGAAGTCTGAGACAATTCTCCTTTTCAATCCAGCTGAGAGACACAGACCTTCTGACCTTTTTGGAGTTCCAACTACGAGCCCAACCCCTTGAAAACTCCTGGCAGGCGAGCGACAGGCAAGCCCATACCACAGCTGTTACAGTTCCATCCCCAACGCCTTACTTGACCCCACATAAGCAATTGTTAGCCTCAGGGCATGCCAGCTTTGTAATGCTGCAGCCCACTTTTGACAACGCCTAGGCTCCAACTTCCATATCACCTTGATCTAGCATACCCTTTCCACCCCCATTGGCCATGACAAAGTTTCACACTTGCCAAGCTCAGAGCACGATGAGAGTCACCACATAGCATACTTCCCCAATCCCTAAACTTCTTCGACCTCATTTTCTGAGGTGGTTCCCAACGACCCGATTTTCAACTCGAACTACCAACTTTTTTTTTGAACCACCTCGTTTTGCGTAGCGCGAAAAAAAGCGTGAAAAAGCAAGACACCTAGCGTGAACATAGCGTGAAAAAACCGTGAAAATTGCCTGACAGTTGGCGGAGACCCGAATATTCGCAGACTAAAGAAGAGGCGCGACCCCAAAGCACACCGTGAAAAAAACGTGAAAATGTCGTGAGTTTGGAATCTTGTTTTCCTGGCTCCTCATGTAAAATCGCACATGTACACAGCACCCAATTTACTGTCTTCGGCCAGCCACTCTGCTTTACAATGCATTTGGGGTTGCTACCCTATTTTCTGGGGTGGTTAGGTGTTAGGAGTTTAGGGCAAAGGTCCCTACTAGGAGGGCATCTGACCGCCACTCATTGTGCCATGAAGCGGTACCCTTTACCTATGGGCCCACCAGGCAATGACCCCAAAAATTCCTACCGCTGAGAAACGCGAGGAGTTCAGCCGCGCAGTCCTACAGGGGCTGGGCATTGATGCCCGGGAGGGCCACCCCAACCTTCCCATAGCCCGTACGAAAGAAAGAAAGAAAGCGAGATAGAAATTGGCAGTTGTCCAATGGAGCCCGTTTCCCTGTGAGGTGACCCAGTGCAAAGCCCAACAGTCGCGGAGGGAAGTCACCGCTGGGGCCCTGAGCTCCCTTCAACGCCCGCACGAAAGAAAGAAAACAAAAGAGACAGGCGGAGCATTAGTCAGTATTTCGGCCCTCCACGGTGGGACCAGACCCAGGCGAACCATTGCGGCTCGGGGCTGCGCCTCGGTGGTGGTGGTGGTGGTCGTAGCAGTAGCAGCAGCAGTAGCAGCAGCAGTAGCAGTAGCTTTTGTAGCCGGCAGCAGAAGAAGAAAAAGAAGAAGGAGAAGAGGGAGAGAGAGAGAGAGAAAAAAAAGTGGACCAACCTAACAGCCCAACATGGGCTGGGCATTGAAGCCCGGGGGTGGCAACCGCCCTCTCCCATAGCCTGAACGAAAGAAAGAAAGAAAGAAAGAGAGAGCAAAAGCAGAAAGAAAGAGAAACAACAGGCGGCTTCCATTCGACGGCTACACCTGCAGCTCACGCACGAGAATTCGCGGCAAGAGGTCTTTAGCCAGGTGAACGATGCGCAGAGGCCAGTGCAGATGCAGGAAGTGCTCATTAATTGAGTTGTAGGTAGAGTGGTGAGCTTGCATCTGCTCGTAAGAGACATTGATTGAATGCCATTTTCAGCTGCGGATTGTGAGAGTCTGCCTTCCCTTTGAGCACCCGCAACATTCGACAAGTGTACAAGAATGCGCAAGACCCCAGGTCAGTAGCGAATCTGCAGCGCTTCAATCGCTTAAGCGGCGCGTTTGGCTTCCCTCCTCTGGGGAGGGAAGAGAGCTGGTCCCAAGCTCATGCCATTTGGCCTCAGGGCAGTTTCGGGGTTTACTGTTTTGCTCCTTGTCGACTTCGGGTTTAAAGTGCACAACGGGTCCCGGCTGGATATACTGACTGCCTTCTGGTCAAGCTACTTGCAATTAAGAAGCAGGGCACGTCATATAGGTGCAGGCCTCAGGTCCTGTCACTAACGCACCTCAAGTCTCAAGGTTCATGTCCTGCAAGCTGGTTTGGGTGCTGAGGACTCAGACCGTTCCTTCGGTGACAATCGGCAGTTCGAGCTGGTGGCAAACTTGCTGCAAACGGAGGTCAAAGAGCGCATCGAAAGCAGGTTGAAGCGATACCTGGAATTGCAAACCCAGAGCGTCGCAGGCACGTAAACCGCCAGAGATGTTTCACCTAGGCTGCAGGTAACACGCCTGCTGGACTTAGAGTAGCTCGCACAGTGGCTGTCAATCTGACAGTCATACCTCATTTCACGCCCCGCTCCAAGGCTCCAAAAGGCTTTGTGCTGCATTCTGAGGGGACTTGTAATCTGTGTGTGGGCGTCATCACGCGACCACCCCAGACAGTGCTTTTCAAATCTGGATGAGTGGCGTGCTGCAGAGGAACGCGCCCTTGGTGCTGAGGCAGCGTGGCAGCCCGTCTGCCATACTCTTCTCTACTCCTGGATCGGGAGGCAAGAGGCCAGCAGTTCTGTGGAAAGTGCTCCTGGATAGCGATAGGCATGACACCGTCGAAGGTGATGTCGACGCGCCTTGACAGAACTTCAGCAGTAGCATGGAGTTGCCGGCGCAGCAGAACCTGTGCAGGCCTTCCAGAATCATTGACATCCGAACTCCTCTGAGACCGTGCTCTAGACAAAGAAGCAAGGACGGCAATGCATCTTCCATGGAGGCTACAACCACACGTAGCGCCACGGATTCCTGAAAACCAAACTGTCAGGAGTTCCAAGATGATGTGCGGGTTGCCTTGGAAGAGCAGCCGTGCTCTTGGTGGGCATGAGAGTGGCTTTCTGCCAGTCACGTGATCGCACGCGCGTCACCTCTGCACCTGCACTATTGCTTCTGGCAGCTTGAAGTGGAGATGACACATGTGACGTCATGCATTCGCTGTTGATAAACAATGAGAAAAAAGTCGCTGATCTGGTGAACCAGTTGAACTAGTCACTTGTTTGGGACAGCCCGGCTCCTGTTTTGCTTCAGGCAAGGAGGTCATGAAAGGAAAGCTTTAACAAAAACAATATTAATGTTTCAATTTTCGCTTCCATAATTCTCTACTATACATCCCTCCGTAGCCCTAAAAATCTTTGTCCTTGTGTATCCTATAAATCCGACCTGTTTTGGGGAACTTGAGGTCAGCAGAGCTCTTGCGCGTCGCGTTGCAGCATGTTCCTCAGAACTAGGAGTTTAGACTACAGCTCATAATGGGGCAAGGGATATAGATTGTAGGGATTATAGAGATGTATAGGGAATCATGGGGAAGAAAATTGGAAACACTTACGTTACATCGGGTAGTGAGGTCATGGTGGGGAACATGAGGGAATGGAAAATACGTTGGCATTGGCAACTGCTAAGTGACTGTATCACGCCCAGCTTTCATTTCATGTCCCTTTTTCTTGTGCATTTGATGCTCCACTATCCGTAGACTCTAAACTCACTATTTCGGGCCCGGCAGCACAGGCCGGCCTGGCCGGCCCCCCTCCAAAACCCAAAACGGAGTCCTGATGCGCCAAATCTTAGGGTTGGAGGGTCTTCTTGTCTTTATTTCGACCTAGCACGAGAGACCCCAATTGTGCTCGAGCATCATCAGCACGATTAGCATCCCATGGAGGGGTTTACAACCCAAGAAAGACCTCAAAAAAGGGCCTTGAACATGGTTTTCCACGCAGGCTAACCATGTTTTGGCCTACACGTACCTTTAACGCAATTGAGAAGCATCATGTGAACCTATTTTAGACCAGACACCGCAAAAATACATACAAAGCGCACAATTTTCAGAGTTTGGCCCGGGCAATGCGCACCAAAATGTTTTATTTGCACGCTTGTCGTGCAGTGCCGGTATTGTCAATGCCACAGGGCATGGTCTATCTCGCGCACATTAAGGTCCCAGCAGCCCCCCGAAGAGTCAGCATCATGAGCATCATGGGGCCTGTTTGGGCCCCCAACTTCCTTTATGAGATTCCAACACCCCTCCAAAGCCCAAGGTATGTTCAGGTGTCCAAAATTGAGTGAAGGTCCAATTGTGCTCATGATGATGCTGGTCCGAAAAATGGCCAACCCGCCATGCGTGAGGGGAAGCTTCAGACAAGCGTCCAAAAAAAGTTTTGAGTTTTGATCCCCCAAATCTATTTCTTAACAGGGGTCGGCAGCTTTGGCGTCACCCTGATCATGCATAGCTTTGGCTAGGCCTGCATCCGCACTGGCCCAGCGGCCAGGCCGGACTTTAAAAGCCTCCGGCTCAAGCCCCCGAGCCCAGAGACAGTCAGGCTCTCCCAGGTACCCCCCAGGGTCAGCGGATATCCTTCTATACCACGACCCAATATGACAAAGTTGTTTTCATGTTCCGCTATTCCATATATACCCCTTCTACCCTATTCACCTATTTTCCTATGTTATATATCCCCATACACCTTACGACATATCCCCATAAATCCTTACATATCTCATTCCTATATAATGGTAAGATTGGATTTTCTTGTAGCCTGGAAGCTGCTCGGATCCAACAAGGCGGTGCCATGCGTGTCCGCAGGACCACGCCGCAGACCAAGAACGCGGATGTCGGGTTCTAGACGCCCAGGTAGTCCCCATATCACGGTCCCCATGAAGGGTCCCTCCAACCGCTAAAAGAAAGATGCTCTCCAGAGGTTTTTCAGCCCTGCATCCGAGGCTTTGCATGAAGCAGTTCGCCAGGCTGATTCGACAGCCGACACCTTCCAATCGTAGTCTGTCACGTCACATTCAAGCGCATTCAAGCGTTTGCGCTGAGTGCCTGGTTTGTCTCAGAACAAGCTTCATGAGGTATTTAGTAACTGGCAGCAAGCTTCAAGCTGCCTCCGCATGGCGTATTTCTCTAAATGCAACATGCTACTAACGTACGTAGCACTGTGCGTACTTGTTTTCTGCAAGCCGTGATCAGCATTTGAGCTATGGCTGTCCCACGTCGTGGATTTCCGGAAGCGGGATCGCTGCTAGCCGTGCTTTGCGCTTGCGCACTGCTTTCTGCAAGGCGACTTGCCTGCAGGTTTTAAACAGGGTCGTCTTGAGGATGCCGCATGTGAGGGCAATGTAAAGAGATTTTGGACTCAGGTGGGGCATGGACTTCACAGTCCATACTGTCCAATACGGTAGGTCCAGCTTGCAAGCTGGTGACCTGGTGAAGCCCGATGGTGACAAGCCCAAGGGTGTTGTGATGCTTGTCCATGGCGGTTTCTGGAAGGCTGGTTTCGACCGAAGCCTGATGATAGACATCTCAGATGACTTGCTGTCTAGTGGCTTCTGCGTTTGGAATATCGATTATCGATCTGTCGGCTCAGGCGGTGGCTATCCACAGACCTTAGAAGACGTGTCTATGGCTCTCAACTGGCTGGCAAGTGACGCGGCCGCCGCGCAAGGTGTTCGCTGTCCAGGGCTGTCACTGGGAATCGTTGGACACTCAGCAGGTGGCCACTTGGCAACGTGGTTGGGAATCCAGGGACTGCTTGATCGTTCCGGCTTCGGCATTGCTGCGGAGGTGAGTCCAAAAATTGTCGTGTCCCAAGCTGGCGTGCTTGACCTCAGGGGAGCCTACGAAGCAAATCTCGGGCAGAGCGCTGTGCGAGATTTCATGGGCACGCCGCCTTCATCTGCATCTTCTCGCATGCTCGCCGCTTCCAACGGTGCTGTTTTGGATGTCGTTGCAGCTCCGTCAGACGACGCAGATGAGCGTTATTCAAGCGCTGACCCAACAGAGCTCTTGGCTAGTGTGCCTGCTGCCCGGCTTAAAGGCTCAAAAACACCGGTTTTTGCACTGGTCCATGGTGAGAATGACGACATCGTACCGCCAGCGCAAAGCGGTGCATTTCAAGCAGCTCTGCGACAGCGGGACGCTGCAGACAGCTGCATTTACAAGCTGGTTCCGCGCGAAGGGCACTTTGAGCATTTGCAACGTAAGTCGGCGGTGTGGGCGTCGACGGCTGACCTTTTGAGAAGTTACCTTGTGCCTGACACCTGACCTGGTCCGGAAGAGGAAGAGGAGCACAGATGACGTGACGGATGTGATCTGCCTCTCAGATACTCTCAGGTTTTGCGCATTTGTGGAGCGGGGTCATTTGCTGCCACGACTATTGTCAGGCCAGTATTTCAAGGCTTCTGCAGCAGCGCATCCGCCCAATGCCAAAACATGGTGCGTCCCGGGATCACCAAGAAATTGATGGTGGGCTCTGGGAAACGGTCTGTGCCTGGCTACGAGCTCAGGGTTCCCGAAAATCCTGCTTGCTGCGGCCCTTTTTGTGATTCTGGTGTGGCGCATCCAAGAGCATTTGAAGACCTCCATGAGCATGGTGAGCCTGCTTTGCATTTTGTGCATTGTCAGCTGGTCCTGATGCAGGGCAACTGCGCTGCCGCACAGCTTCTCCTGCAGAACATGGCTCGGGCCCAAGCCTTTCAGCTCAGTCAAACTTCCGGTACTTTGCGATCTGCCCTGCAGGCTGATCCAAATGAGCGGTGTCGAGCACTGGAGCGCGGCTGTGAGACGGGATCTCAGAGCTCTACATCATGACTGCTTCTGATTTCAGCCGGCTTGACCTAGGGGTCCTTCTCGAGCATGCAAGACTCTCGAAGGGTTTACAGTACAGGTTCTTCATCCTGAGAACTGGCATGGTGATCAACCCGTACAGTACTTGTATGTATCCGTTAGGTTAGAGTGATGCAAACGTTTTACGAGGCATACGGACTACATTGCTTTGCCATGCCGCACGCGACTCAGGCTCCCTTTGCAGCTTGCGCTCTCCTCCAACCTCGTGCGTGCCAGCGAGCGGCAGCAGGACCGGAAACTGCAGACCCATTTCAGACCCTAGAGTCTACAGCCCGACTGAAAACCAGCTTCTCCACTTTGTGTCAAAAGCCGAAAGCCTGAATTCCCAGTGCTTTCGATGCCAGATGGTGGAGCTACTACTGGAAGCTCGAGCGGATGCGGAGATCCCGCATAGCGACCCTGAGGCAGTGCTCTAAAACGGGAAGCTGGTTGTGGCTCTGAGCTGCCTTGCCAGGGCAACCGCCCCCTTCATGATGCTTCCTCAGCTGTGCATTGTGAGCTTCGGTGCTCAAGTGAATTAATTCATTAGGCAACACGCTAGCAATGCTTGTGCAAGATTGCGCGCTTTTCCGTGATCTGCAAGCTTGCATGGGGCTGCCCAGGTTCCCCTTCATGACGCAGTGCGACGCGGAGACGCTGGGATTGTGGAGCTTCTTCTAAAGCCGGGCACACCAGGGCCCAGGGATGTTAAGTTTGGACTCGAACGGTCTGCTTTCACAGCCGTCTCAGGATAATGTAGATAGGTAGGCATTGGTGCCAGATATTGGTCGTGCGGTTTGCAACGATCGGACCACAGAGGGTAGGCTGCAGAGAAATGTTGTGGAAAAGCGCATGGTACTCATGGTTCTTCTTTCTGGGCTCCCGAAATAACCTGGAAGCCTAAGACTCTTGATTTTGAAGCTTCAGATCCCTGGAGTCATTCCCTTAGCCCCTTGAACTTGTCATTAGGAAACAACTGCCTTGCCCTGAATACCTCAGCAACACGGACAGTGAAGAGACACTTACTGGCAAGACTCTCAGAACCCTTCCGGAATATAAGGGACAATCATTCTCTGCCTGCTAAGATTCAGAGGTGATGATGTTGGTGACGCTCAGGAACATGTTGTTGATGATGACAGTGATGATGATGATGGTGATGATGATGATGATGATGATGATGGACTTTCGCTGTTGCGGTCATAAATTCTTTCGGGCTTCTGCGGAATAGGTTTGCAGGAACCGCGTGACGTGTACCAATGGCTTGAAGGCTTGGGGACATTCGGGTACTGCCGCGGAGTACTACATTGGGACAGTTTTCCCTGATGCCTCAAGATTTGGCAGCTTGGTGGTCCTCGTGTCTCGCGCCTAGATGTTGCTCGCTTGTTTGTCGGTCCAACTTGTTTGCTGACACTGTCCAGCGGCACGTTGCGGGCCATTCAGTCTGCAGCGCTTCCAAAGACTTGCTGGCCGTAGATTCTAAGCCTGAGGCAAAAAGCTCTCATGAAGAAGCGCTAACTTTTGCACAGAAGACTTTATGAACTTTGTGTCCATGCTCCACTAGTGTGTTCGCATGATGCTGGCCATGCTTCGCAGAATGCTTCCAGCTGCAATGTGCGTCCTTCATGTCGTAGGCAACCTACCAACTGTAAGCACAACCCCCCTCGAGCTGAATGTTCCGGAACGCTGATCCAGCTAGACCGAAGAATCGCCCAACAGGCACCGAGCAGATCCCAATTCTCGAAATGCGTTTGCCGAGGCTGGCAGGGCTGGGGGGGCTTGCGCGAATCCCCGCTCTAATCCCGCCGCACCTAATCGTTGGCACCAGCGTCACCTGAGCACTAGGAAGGGTATGAGGGTAACAATTAGCAGCCTCGGAAGCAGAGAGTCTGACATCAGTTCACATGCCAGGCACCTCTGGAGCTGGCGCTGCAAGGAGCCCGCCGCTTTGAAAGGGAGCCGGGTTGCCTCTACGGATGCGCAGGAAGCCATTTTCTGGACATGGACACATCCATCACCCTCATTGGGGTGCGGCTTCTGCTTCAGAGTCAGCTGAAGTTGGCGACTTCGACTGCGGGTGCTGTTGCAGGCTCTCTTAAAGTGGGGTGCATGCCCCACAGAGCTCAGCTGCGAGCCCAGCTGTTAATCGAGTACCGCATGCACTTGTACTTATGCCGGCAAGGCGGGGAAGCCGCTGGCCAAAGTGTGGCTGAAGGCGGCGTTTTTCTTCAGAATCCGCACCTTCACGCTATTCTCGGCATGGCACGAGCAGGGGGCGATGATGCCGGGGTTGCGGCTTGCCACTTACTGCTTGGCCTCTTTTCTTTGCCAATAGGGCCAACAAGCTGTGAGGCATTGGCGCCTGAAATCCAGGCTTTGCTGTCCAAATGGTCTGCTTGGCGATGACCTCAGCTCATCTTTTGGCACGGACTGAACCGCATACAGAAGGGAAGCAGTATGTGACTTGGGTGATACGACATATGAGGTGGCGGCTGCGAATGCTAGCATGGATTCGCTCCAGAGGCTCCGACACCTCAGTGAAGACGGAATACCAAGCTGGCAGGTTGCATGGCCCCACAGGACACAGCGGATCAGGTCATTTACTCATTTCCCCTTGTCTCCTTCCTCAAGCTGCTCAGACATTCTCAAACTGCACACGCACATGTTGTCGACCTGCGTTTGCAGTTTCGCTTCTGCGTCTGCAGGGGCTGGTCCACTGTCAGACGTCATGCCTGACATCTTGCTTAGAGCCACTTGATGAAGAAGAGCGACAGAGGGGAAAGGACAGTTGCAGTGAATGACCGCCCGACCATTGTAAGATTTGATGGGCCCACATGATCTTTGAGCATGGCGGATGACACATGCATCCACTCTAAGGTGGCGCAATTCCTCTGAGTGAGGCCTGCGCATGTATTTGACGATCCAATAATTAATTTGCTGAAGTAGGCAAGCCGGCCAGCCAGTCTCGTCGTGCAAAGCCGACCTGTGCAGCAAGGGTTGCAAATGAGTTTATATTTACGTAGACCAGCAGCACAGCATGTGCAGCTGGGAGTGAATTTGAGGGCGCTGATGGCTCCAAAATACCTTTTACCTCCGGTGTGTCGAAACTTCGCAGCCTTAAGTCGAATAGGTTTTTGCCGCATGGAGCCTGCCCGAATGCACGCGACTGCACGTTCCTCAAGCTCTGCTGAGCTTGTAAATTAGGCTTATCTGACAGGAGTCTTGCCGCAGAGTGCGCGACTTGGCAAGGCGCTGAAGATGTTTGCTGCATTTTTTGGAGTATACTGTCTGCAATTGGGAAGATCTCGCGGCCCTCTCTTCAGTCCTGGTGCTTGGCCGTTCGGAACGGTACCTCCATTTGCGCAGCTGGGCTCCAGAGGGTAAAGAGGGCTCGAAAAAGGGAACGCCGAGCGCTAGCCTTCAAAGATGTGGCGGCTGCCGAGCCTTTGGGTGGGGCCAAGGGGTTCCGCCAGGTTTCAACAGCCCACGGCTCTTGCAGCCTGAAAGATCTCCATGATTCCTGAGATAGCTTTTCAGTGATCAGAAGTAGGCGATTTCATGAGAAGAGAGTATGCAGCATGTAAGGCCATCCGCAGCTACCCATGCTGACCCAGCATGTCCGACCATGACTTCCGCCATTTCAACTCACCTGTGTAACGCGGAGCTCCGGAAGCGCAGGCAAAGCCTGCCCGGCACTGGGCGACTAGTGCGCGGACGGTGGCAGCTCTCTCGAGCATGATGTTCAGTTCTAAGAGGAAAAAGTGTGGATTTGCATGGCACGAGCGATAAGCGCGGTCTCATCAATTCTCCCTTTATCCATGACAAGTTAACCCAAGGTCCCGCAGGCCTGGTGGGGCGCCGGAGCTGCGAAAGCCACTTGCCGTGACTGCAGCTGTCCGTACCTCAACCCATCACCGCAAACAGTAGCATAGCTCGGACACGCTGACTTTGCAAAAACAGCTTTCATCAGACTTGACCTCTTTGCCAGGCGCTGAGCTTACCGCTTGCCAGGCGGTCGCTCTCTACTGAGGAGGCGGCTAGGTTCAAGACGCTGATCGTAGGAAGGTTGGCAGCGCCAGTGCCGCCTAATGGTAAGCAGGCTTGTCAGAATTCGTTGGGAACAAAGCTGATTGGACAGCAACAGGCAATGAGCAATCGGGTTGGTTTAGCTGACCTTTTTTGCATATGCCTCCATATTCTCCATCGGCAGCATTCCTATGCTACTTTCCATGCGCAATCAATCCCAGGCAGCTTGGATCACAACTGCGTCCGGCCTGCAGTACCGCGACCTTGTCGCAGACTGAGAGCTGAAAGGCGGCTTAGATGTGAGTGCCACAACTCCTTTTCGAAGCAACTTCCGAAGCATCGAATGCGGTTGATACGGAAGTGCCTCTCCTCGAAATTCGTCTGTTAGTACTCATTACTATTCGTGAGCAGTGCTTCTTTCTTACTGAGCATTTTTTTCGAGAGCTCGTAGTGTGGCTCAGCTCCGCAGCTGCATGGCTCTGGACGAGATGCTTCCAGCATAGCATCGTGCTGCTCTCCCACGGACAACTCCAAGGGTCTCGTCCGTGCCAGGGCCTTGGGCTTGGGCTGCCTCCGTTGCAAGTTTGCACGGGCACGAGTCACAAGCTGTACATCTGCTTGATTGAGCAGGTGGAGAAGGCAGTATGCAAAAGTCTCGGAGTTTACCTCGACTGGAAGGCGGTATGAGCCTGAGATGTAAAGATGTAACATGTACAGCTTCTGTTACAGAAGGACTAGCTCGCAGCTCTAGGATGCTCCGCCCAGGGCTACAGAAGTTCCCTCGAATACGTGTTGTGCACCACCTGGACCCGGAGCACATTCGATTGCATCTGAGATGCACATCAGCAGAAGCGATCGGAGTTGTTGCAAACCAAGCGCTTGGCATTTCTTGAAGAGCCAAGGCGGGAGCAGAGGCGCACTCGAACATCATGCGTTGATGTCTTCATCTGCAACTGCAGCGCAACTTTGCTGATGCGCTGTTGATGCCATGGAATGGTTGCAGGCTGGGCATCCAGCTTATGGAGAAGAAGGCATCGCGTCCAAGGCCGCCGCATGACGAACCTTCTTCAAATTGTGACCTCCTCGATGGTCTTGATAGTGGACATGCACCTGCTGCCAGGACACCGTCTTTTGTCTTCGCCGAGATTGACGACATGTCAGAGCTGCAGAGCAAGGGAGTTGAGTTGAAGGCCTGGAGCTTGGTTGATGCAACTCGTGGACGCCAGGTTAGCCCAAGACAAGGTCTCCTGGAACAGCAAGGCCAGGTGGATGAAAGCTTTCAAACCAGACCTTTCAGATCTCATATTCTGCTGTTCTGATGCAGCTCACGGTTGGAGCCAGCTTTGTTTCTCAAGCTGTGGATTGGGTGGGAGTGTGCAGGAGCAGCAGGCTTTCCTAGCCAACTACATGGCCTCCACGCTGGACTTGCTGGCCCCACTTGGATGGCATGCAACCTCTGCAAAAGCTTCGCCATGCAGTACAGAGTTTGCAAGCTAACAAGTCTGCAGTCCTGCTGCCAAGTGGTGAATACTACATGAGTAAAAGAGCTCGCGAGGAAGTGGCATCGCGTGGAAGGCAGTCGGCAGCAAAGCTGAACCAACCAGAAGCTCGGCAATGACAAACGGGGCCCTGCAATTACTTAAGTGGCTGCAGGCTGTGCACCTAGAAGCTGCAGCTGTGCCAAGGCTCCGGAAGTGGAGATAGTCGTCCCCACCGCAGCGGACGAAGTGTTTGAGTGACTTGAGCTGCAGCTGTAAAGAGCTTTCATCAACTGGCCCGCTAGAAGTATTGATTGATGATCATCACTCCAGGCTGCATACCGTCGGTGCTCACTGTTGAGTAGTAAGGAATAGCAAAAACAGGATACCTACTTTATATACTAGTCCGCTCGTACTCAAACACGGCAATCCCCATATTCCATTCCTTGATTCAACCCAGAGGGTAAGCTCTTGTGCTCCTGGATTTCAAAAAGTTGGCCCGGCCATGTAAGTGACACTTGTTGAAAACCGTGCACATGGCTCATAGCAGTTGTGATTCGTTCTTTGAAGTCACGCCGCCTTCTGTCAGAGTGCTGGAAACAAAAAGCAAATGGCAGCTGAAGTGACTGCTGAAAATTGAGAGCGGGGGCACCTTGCCGTGAAAGGTGTAGCATGCGTAAATGTATTTTTGCCCGTATGTTGGGCATGCAGAATTTGGGGGAGGAGCAGAAACTCAGAATTGAATATCAAGCTCTTGCCGGCACAAATTAAATCCGATCCGTGCACAGCACACCTCGCATGCAACGTCAGCTGGCGCGCCTCGGCCAGAAAAGTCGAACATGTCCACTCTTTCAACATCTGGAAAGTGGCATATGCTTTATGCCACCCTTTTTTTTGTCGGGTGGATCCGTGAGGCAGCCAACAGGTTGCTGGAAGACCAGGTGTCTGAAGCAACGAAGCAGACATCACTGAGAAACAGAAGTTGTCTCCCTAAGCGCTTTTGGCGCACTCGAGCTCCCTCGAGCTCCAGCCCGATCAAGGCGAGTAGGTACTGACTGCAGCCCCAGGCCGACAACCCAGCTGCATGGGCAAGAATTCATGCTCATGCCTGCTGCCAGAACAATGCCGCGCAAATGCATGCGTTGGAGTTGTGTGTGCGCGCATGGCATTCGCACTTGTTTTGAGCTTTCTGAGGGCTTGGGCAGGAACAGTTCAAAGATTATGATATACAAAGCCTAAACTTACAAGGTCTCCCGCCTTGACTGCCTTACAGGTCAGCTTCGCTACTGCCACGACAAAGTATGCACAGATCCAATGGCAAAACGATAATGACTGTGACATTTACCATGTGCTTAATTGGTGGTTGGTTCTAAAACCTCTGAAGAAATTCTTGCCACTGCCATTGTGCAGTTGCTGTCATCTTCCGCTCAGGAGTCTCGATTCTTTCGCCCCGGACTCCGTGCCAAGGACTGGGGCGAACTGGTGCTCGCATGTCAGTGACTCCATGTGAGCCTGGCCATTGCGGCAGCTTCGCGTTCAGAACTAGAAAACTTGTAGATGTAGCATGCCATGCTATTCGAACGCCTTTCGGTATCCATGCAGCTTGCAGATTTCCATTTTGGGACACTGACAATACAGCAGCCTCAGGAAGTATGCCGAAGCAATGGACGAGTGCACCGCACCCAGCGAAGAGGGAGCATGGTCTTGATATGAAAGGCAACGCAGGTCAGCTTCTTGCCAGACATGACTTGCCCCAAGTAGTGTGGAACCCTGGTCAGCATTCATACTCTTGAGGACAGCTGCACAGCACTTCGGAACCTGACTGATTGGAAGGCTCCTTGGAGATGGCCAACTTGCTGGAGGAGGCTTGGGCCATCTTGGCAAGACTTCAGCAAGACAGTGGCTCAACACGTAGACGTACACTTTCATACACTTTCCTGCTTCCTGACACGTACCAGAGCATGTGGCAGAGTTGTCGAGTCGAGTGAAGAGTAGCTTTGATTCCCGTCCACGCCTGCTGCTTGATTCCGGATATTTTTCACTCACCCGCGTGTGAAGCCAGCCGCGAAACACCTGCATCTAATTAATCCATGCCAAAAAGACCGAAAATCTCAAACCGGGGCCTGGAGGGTCTCGTGATCCTCTACAAACTACGATCCCTGCAAAGTTGGCAGATGTGGTCCTTGAGGTCGCAAAGACCGACGCGGTGCTCCAGCGCGACCTGGAGTCCGAGTTTTGGCAGGACCAGCGGATCAGACTAGCTAAGATTCCTGCACGATAGTGAGTGCAGGCTGTTCCCGCGTGCAAAACGCATACGATTGATGATTGCCAGCCTCTAATGGCACCTCCACCGCCACATTCCGCAGTTTCACAGCTTCCCCCGTAGTTGAAACTTTGAGCCTTGTGCATTTGCGCAGTCAATGATGAGATCGAAACATCGCGAGACCTAGGTCGAGAGCTGTTGACCCCCAGGCGTTCACAACCACATGGGCACACACCTTCGTAGCTAAGCCATTCCGTTCGTATGCCTTGCAAAGTTCTCGAGAGCTAGTCCTTTTTCTTGCACAAGACCTCAGACACAACCGCAGATCTTTGTTGGCCTGGCAACGGCCTGAAGTGCAGCGCTCAAAACGGTATTCAGAAATATGTGATGTTTACGCAGTAAACAGTTGCAAAGGAGGACGAGAAGGTTGTTGAGGAGACGCCTGCGGAAGCTGTAGCCAGAGACCCCGGGCCGGCGCTGCTGGCGGCCAGGGAGGCAATCGGCGTCTCAGGGATCCGCCAACAACCTTGGGCTGCTAAACGCACACGGCGGTTCGGTTTGTAAGGAGTTGCTAGCAAGATCCCCCACCCACGAATTCGGTGTGTGGGGTGGCAAAGCACTGGGTCGCAAACATGCTTGTGCATGCATCGCTCCAGCAATGTCAGACACTTGAAAGAGACGGGCGTGCCCGATTGAATGGCTGATGGCCCATCCGCAAGACACGCATAACATAGAGGGTAGTTTGGGGAGTATTCCCGGGCGGGATCTGGTTCCTCAGATTGGATTTATTGAGTGGGGATGCAGTGGGTTGTCTGACTGTTGCCCTTTGACTTTCGTGTGTGGCTTGGGCAGAAGAGGGTCTTGGACAGGTGCCCACGCTATTCCGTGATATTGACGCGCACCTTCCCAGATCTAAGCAGGGTCCTGAAGGCTTGAATGGCAGCAGAAGAAACGGCTCGCAGCGTTCTCAGTAAGGCGCAAAGCTTACGAGACGCTGGATCCTCAGTTGCTTCCGCGAGGTGCTGGGGCGACCGCCTTCTCCCTGTGCTGCTTTTCCTCAGGATAGTTATTGCACGCATCCTCAGGTTGCGGTCTGCCGGTGCCGTGGATATCCACAAATATGTTGAGGAGCTGTAATCTGCGGTCGCCCAAGCCACGAAAGCCCAAGCTTTGGCAAGGAGAACTTTGAGGGAGCCCTCGAGCGTCGAGATGATGGAGTGCAGTGGGTGCACAAGGTCATGCATCGCAAGGCAGCAGCCTCCTGCGTGTTTTTTTATTCGTGCTTGGCCCGAGACTCTTGTACTTCTGGGTGCACAGGATCGTCATCCTGGCCAATCCGCTTGGACCAAAAAAGCGCCGCAGACTCAGCAGGGCTTCGCCGAGCTTGTCAACAGCTGTCCCTGTTGCATTTTTTTGCTTTTAATGAGTGACCACTGTAGTTCTCGGTGCTTGCGGCGGGCTTTCCCATCCTTTCAAGTCGGTGGCAAGTTGTTTTCGAGACGGCCAGAGATGAAAACTTGCGCAAGGCGACTCAGCAGCTGCCATAGTTCATGCAGCTTGGGGATGTGGATCAATAAGCCAGATTACATTAGGATCAATAAAAATCAGGGCCGATAAGCAAATAATCACCAATAGAAAGTTAAAGCTTTCTATTTTAGAGGATTCAAAGGCGGAATCCTTTTTCAGTGTGAGAACAAGAGAATGCAAGTAAGGACAACCCAAGGGAAGAAGAAAAGGAAGGAAGAAGCAACGGAGGATGGAGCAAAGGAAGAGGGGAAAAAGGAAAGAAGGAAGGTTGTCATTGTTCATCATAATCATGTTTCAACATGTTTCGTCATATTTCATCACCTATGACTTCCTGAATGTGTTCATCAGTTGTCAATTTCATCATGTTTGCATCATTTTCATCATTTCCACCATGTCCCTCAAATCTTCATGATGTTCATCAAATGTACTTCATCATCTTTCTTTGTAAAGGCTGCGTTTCATCGTTGTTTGTTATCTTCATCATGCTTCATCATTTTCACGGGCGTTCATCATCCTCTATTTTGTTTTGAAGTCATACTTCATCATATTTCAGCATTTTCCGTCTATATATTCCATCAGTTTTTCCATCGTTTTCAAGACTTTCCACCATTGTCATTATCTTCAATCACAATATAAAAAATCGAATGATGTCGAACAGTGAAGCTTTATCGGCAATTACCACAGGCCTCAATGGTTTGCAATGGGGGTGGGGGCTGCGCCCTCTCCCCTCCCCCCGCCAGAAAAAAGAGAGAGAGAGAGAGACACACACACACACACACACATCCAACCCTTTTGTAAACATGCCAGCATCATGTCCAAGAGTGAATCCTCATCTACAACTGCCACGTTCCTCAATGGCTGGCAAATGGGGGGCTGAACGCCCCCAACCCCCTTGCCATTTTTAAGCATGAATCAATACCATGCTTTGGAGTGATCAACAACTACCACATTCAACAATGGTCTCCATTTCTCAATGGTTGGCAAATGCAGGGGGCTGGACCCCGCCAACGCCCCTGCTCATTGAACCTCCCGTGGTCCGAGGCGGTCTATGTCCTTGGGAAAACCGTAGAGCGCAACAATGGTGATGACGTGAGTTTTTACCGTAAGCGTGGATGGCCTTAAAAAAGCGGCGGGGTTGGAGGGGGAGAAGCCAATGGGCAAAGAGCCAGAAACAGAAGCCAAGAAGCCTGAGAAACCAACAAGCCAGAAAGCCAAGAAGCGGAGCCCCCCGCCTTTTTAAAGCCATCCATGCTTATGGTAACAATTCATGCCATCACCATGACTGCAGTAGGGGAAGGCTGTGCGGATCATTTAGTTTGCAGGGGGGAGGTGCCTGCACTCCGCCCCATCCCCCCCCCTGCTTTTACGTCATCCATTCCTACGGTAGAAAAGATCATGTTTGCCGTAAGGGAGGGCAAGGGAGCATTATGCGGATTACTGTTAGTAGTCTGTTAGTTAATGCCATTGTTTTTTTTGGCTTGTAGCTTCTTATTGTTATCATTGTCGACAATGCGTCTTCTTTATCACTACTGTTATGAGTAATTACTTTGATTGCTACTACAACAAGTACTATTTATTCCCATTTCTATTCCAATTATCGCTATGCGGTATGGTTTATTGAGCTGTCACAGGGGTATCCTACTAGACTAGAGCTCTCTCGCGTGGAATTTTCGTATCCTGACATAAAGTTGACCTCCCACGCAGAGGGGCCTCCTCAAATTTGGGCTCAAAATTGATCTCTCGCATGGAGCTTTCTTGCATTCTGACACCCAAATTTCGGCTCACAAATTGAGCTCTCGCGGTGAGGGTCCTTACATTTTGGTCTACAGAATGCCCAAGACCACCCACAGACCAAAAAATATCAAAAGCAATACCTGTTTTTTTACCCAAAGAGCTCTCGCATAGAGGGCCTTTTCATTTCACTCCATCGAGTGATGCATCACTTTGAAGGACTAGCCGTGACAAGATAAAGTCGTACCAACCGCGCTCGTGCCCTTAATTCTCAGCTTGGCACGCCACCTGCGCAGGTTTTGCACGGACCTCGCTCAAACCTTGTCTGCTCACGTTCAGTTTGGATACCAGCAACGCCCATGAATCAGCAGCGCGTGTTTTTGGCTTTGTTCTCGTTACCGGTACATGAGCTTGAGCTGATTCCGTTGAGCTGATTGCCTGCTTGAATGCACGGAATGCATGATTTGCAGACAAAACAGGCTGCAGCTTCTGGACTCTGAGCGTCTGGACCGCCGAGTGGGGCTCGGCCTCGGAGCGGCCCCATGGCTTTATCTGTAGCAGTGTAGCATTTGAAGTCATAGATGGCAGGGTGTATTGTGGCTGGGTGTTGCTTGCAGGTGTTGTTGAAGGCTGTTGAGGTGCAGCCAGTGTCGAAACGGTTTTGGAATGTTCTGGGACTTCTGTGGGCAAAAAGGCCTTGTGCCGAGTCTGCGGGGCAGAGATACGTTGTTGACGTCCTGGGATCTCATAATGAAAGCGGGGAGAGCTGGCATGTCACTCGTCAATCTGGGCTTACTACTCAGCACCATCAAGCCCTTAAATGTGGGATAAAGTGGCATCTAGTGACTCTCGAGCCAACAGCGTTGAATTCGTGAGTGGGCCCAACAACGATCCTGCCAAGGACTTCTGAAGACAACCTTGCTGTGGGCGCAACAGGCTGAGTGATCGTTGACGGAACTTTGAGCATCAGGGTGTATCCAGTAGTTGGTGCTCTCGACTCGGGACTTGCGCCCCACGACATGCTGCAGTGGCGTGCCCATGACATGAGCAGCACAGGAAGTTTCCAGGCTGTGGGATGCAAGGCTTGCCAAGCAACCCTTGTAGTCCAGCGCAATGAAGTGCCATGAGTCGAGGCATAAGTGAAGGGTTGCAATTGCTTATATCGAAATGTCACATGACAGAGGCAGACGCAACAGCTGAATGAATTACAAAGACTACGGCATCCAAGCTGGTGAGCCAGCTTTATGGTAGTACCAAAGGAATACTTCTCGATTCAGGGCCCTGGCGCAGATGCCACGCATCCTGGTTGCTGTGGATACAAAAAGCAGTGCTTGGGACATTGAACAGCAGTTGGATGGTTTGTGGAAATTGAATTGCTGTAGCATTTTCATGCTTAAGATGCCAGATGATGCTGCAGACCAATTTGCAGAGAGGAATCAGGCTTAGAATTGCATCAGGTGAGCGTTGTTAATCAAATAGCTGGGAGTTGCCACAGTTTTAACAGAGGCCAATACACATTGTTGTCGAAAATGGGTTCAGCTTTCAGCACATCACCTCGGAGCGGGTTATCTTCTGAACGAATGTTCAGGGCTGCACCCGCATGCCACAACATCCAGGTCGTTGGCGAAGGGGAGGCCCCTGTGAAGGGGCAGCAGGTGAAAGTGTCAGATCCTTAGAGTGTTCTGCAGAAGCTGAAGGGTTGGCAGATGACCTGTGAGGCATTACACTGGCAAGCTAGAGAACGGGAAGGCCCTGGATTGAACATGATTTAAGACAGCATCTCAACTTTTGGCACATAGGTCTTTGATTCTTCAATACCAAGGGGTCGTAGCCTCAGAATGTCTTGGGCTGGCAAACGCATTCAAATTTGTTGCTGGCCTAAGGCGAACCTTTGGATTTCGCTGTCGGCACCGGTCAGGCCAATTTAACCTCCAACCACAAATATCTCCATGAAGGCTTTCGCTTCTGGAGACGCCTGCGGCATTTTTGAGCAGGTAATTGCCGGCTGGGACGAGGGCATCCTTACAATGAAGGTTGGTGGAAAGAGGCCGTTGCGAGACTGCAGTTGGCACACCATGCTGGAAGTGCATTCTGACAGGGAGCTCAAAATTCCTCCGAAGCTTGGATACGGAAGTCGTGGAATAGGCGAGCTCGCATTCTGGAAAAGCTTAAGCGAAGCCCAACACATATATGAGTATGTTGGCATCGAAGGCCCCATCCCGGGCAATGCCACACTCTTCTTCGAGTGCGAGCTGGTTGGACTTGGTTCCAAGCCCATGCCTTGATATGCTTTGATATGTGTTGATACCTGTAGTGTTACTTCGGGACGCTTCCCTATGCCAACCATTGGCTCGTTCAAAACAGCTATACCCAGTTCTTAACGCGCGGCATCATGCAGCATCTACCATCTAGGAACAAGTAGCATGGGAGAGATTTGAAGACAAGCTTTTTGCGCTTTACGAAATTATCTAGTGATTCTAGTGCTTGCATGAGGTGACTCGGCAGCTGCAGCAATCTGCGCAGCTAGGTCTTCGTGTAAAAAATGCTTTGTGCAAACTGTCGTGCCTTGCAGTGGTTCGGTTGAACCCACAAAGCTACAGAACTGGCGATGCGTTGCCATTGACATGTATGCCGTGTTGCATCTAAGACGGATTCAGGCTTGCGTTCGTAGCTCTGTCGGGTATGGGACAAACATGATTCATCATGATTCTGGCACTTGCTTGCGTCTGCATAGCAGCAGTGCTGCGGCGTGTAGATGCAGAGCTGGTTTTCCTCCGCAGTGTCCATTCTGGTCTCTGCGTTGACGTGCCTGATAATGCCAGGCAGGCATTCAGATTGCGAATGTGGGATTGCGAGCTCAGCGGGCCACAGGCCTTGGACCAAGTCTGGTATATCAGCAATGGTCAGTTCATTTCTACGAATGGTCAGCTTTGCATAGATGTTCCCGGTGCCTCGGCCACTGCGAATGACTTGGAACTCGAAGTCTACTATTGTAGGAATGCCGGTGATCTTACGTCTGATCAAGTGTGGCAGCTGAATTCCGATGGCCTCATTGTGAACCGATTGTCCAGAAAATGTCTGACAGTGAAGGATGGCCAATCAGACAGAGAGAGGTTCTCCGGTGGTTTTATACGACTGCGCCACGAGCAATGCGAGCAATGCGCAAGCACGCGCAGCAGGTCAACTTTGGGAGCCCATTCCTGCCATTGAAACTGGCTTAGGCGGCTTCATTCAAGGTGGCAATAGACCAAGCTGTTTCAGCAGCCAGTATGTGGACGCGCGGTCCGGTCTTTGCCTGGTGTGTCCTCCGGGTGAGTTCTCAGCAGATGGTCAGTCATGCACAGCATGCCCGATGCATCAGTACTGGAACAAATTCAGCAGGCAATGCGAAAACTGTTCTGCGAGTTGTGCAAGGCAAGGAGAATTTCTCTAAATCCGCAACAGGCTTTCCAGCTTTTGCCTGGCCGCAGGTCCTTTCGGTTTTGACTGGCTGAAAATATGGGACTGTGAATCTGGTGTGCCCGATTCCCGTCAGGTTTGGCATATACAAAACACCAGCGGAAAAATCACAAACGTGAAGCATATGATGTGCACCGGGGTCCCTGGTTTAGGTGAAGTAGAGTCTGGCTGGTACCTGGAACTGAATCAATGTATTGATGACCAGTAAGATGAGGATGAAATGTGGCAGCTGCAAAGTGATGGGCCCATTGTCAGCAGACTCTCGGGCAAGTGCATGGACGTGAACGGGGCTGCACTGATTAGCCCCGGTCCACACCTATCTCTTCTCAAATGTGAGCATGGCTATGAGCCAAACGAAACAGATCAGAGATGGGAGTTGTTGCCTGCGTTTGAGGTCCAAGAAGGTGTTTTCGGTTACTGTGCCACGAGCTGTCTCAGAACCCAGTACCTCGATGTGCGCACAGGCTTGTGTGCAAATTGTCCCCCAGGGGAAGTCTCAATGGATGGCTGGCAGTGTATTGCATGTTCCTCGGGTCAATACTTGAGCGTAGAGTCCAACGCTTGTGCGGACTGCCCCGCCAACACTCGCCCTTCCGCAGATCAGACCCACTGCGTGCCAATGCCACCAACCTTCGATATCCAAAGCGTGCATTCCCGGCTTTGCACTGTCGTGGATGAAGCTGCTCTGAAAATCGAGGGACTGTGCACTCTCGTTTCTCACAGACCGGATCTGGTATTTCAGAGCCGAGCAGCTAAAGAGTGCGGAAAGTCGACTCTGCATGGATGTTGCTGGTGTGCCAGGTGCTGAGAATGGCTTGGCTGTTGGAGTCGAAACCTGTGAGCAAGCTTACGACCATGCGACGGATCAAGTGTGGCAACTCAAAAGCGATGGCCGCATAGTGAACAGATTGTCCGGCAAGTGTTTGACAGTGAAGGAAGGCCGGTCAGAGAGTGGCGCACCATTGATCTTGTTCGATTGCGCGGGCACAGCGCAAGCACGCATGGCAGGTCAACTTTGGGAGTTGATGCCCGCTTGTGAGAAACAGCCAGGTTTGTTCAAGCCTTGCGCCTGCAAAGACAACCAAGTACCGAACTTCGCATCAGGTGGATGCATGGACTGCGCCGAAGGCCAGCTCCTTGGCCGTCACTTGCATTCCTGTTTCTTTTCTTGTCCTTTGTTTCTGAGACGCCAGCAACTTTAGAGTCGACTTCGTCAACGTGAGCTCAGGTTTCCGGATGGCCTGGAGTGCGTGCGCTGTGCTTCTCATGACTATTGGGACTTGAATGATCAAGCCTGTTCAAGCTGTCCTGATGGAATGATACCCGCAGCAGACCGCACCTCATGTGAGGAACGGAACTTTGCAGGTCTCACAGAGTTGCTGGGCTGGTGTTCAAAGATAGGCTTTGCTTCTTTGCGAGTGTTGCAACCTACCCACCCACAAAATACCAAAAACGATCCTTGCAAGAAATATTCGAAAAAATCGTGTAGGTTGGGCTGGGCTGTGCTTGGAACCAGTTTGGCGCTGTTCTCTTTTGTTGTTGCTTTCCTCCTTGGCTGTTGGTTGGTCCTTCATCGGGGCACCAATGTGGCAGATGCGGCTGGCGTCAGCTCGGTGCAAATTCTGAATGAGGCCAGGCAAGCTTTGAATATAGCTTCAACTGCCACCATTAAGCCGGCAGCGACCCTCAAAATTGTTGTTTCTTGAGTCTCCAGATCTGTCTAGGTCATCGTCAAGATGCCATCACAGTCTCAAACGGGATCCAATGAGTTGAACGAGGTCGCGAGCAAGCAGGCTGGCGAGGTTCCTGACACGTCTGACAAGCAGTCGCGTGGGCAGTCAGTTTGGGAAATATTTCTTGAGGTACTAGCAACCAGTGACGATCAGCGGGCTTTCTAGGCTGCGATTGGTCTTGTGCTGATGGTTCCCCAAGCCATCCCAAGCCGTTATAAATCTTACCTGACTACCACCCAAAAACATGTTTTGCGTTTTCGTTTTGCGTTTGTTGTTTACGGAAGGGGGGGCTTCGCAAAAATAAACCAAGGGTTGGGGTACGACCAAGTACTGCAGCTCGTAGTACTAGTAGGACAAGTAGAAGAGAATCGATTAAAACCGGTACATTTCGGCTGGACAATATTAGTAGTGCCACCCCCCTTACCATTGTTTAGGACCTTGTTTAGACCTTTTTGGGCTCCGAACTCGTTAGAAAGCAAATGTAGTCTTCCGGGGATTTTTCTGGCTCGGCACCAATTGAGTATTGCCACCCCCTTTATCAATGGTAGGTTAACATTAATGTGCAGGGGAATTTAGTATCAACAGCACTTTGTATTAGCCTCGGTAGTGAATAGTTCACGTGATAGTACTAGAAGCACTAGTGAACTAAATCTTAGCAGTCTCGAGTACCAGCATTGCTTTAGTGCTCAGTGATGGTTTGCCCCGGTTGAGTTTCAAAACAAATCATAGTCGGCTCCTGGAAGGTTGTGTGATGTTTTGTGTTCTCCTGCTTGCAGGTCAAAGAAAAGTTCTTTACGCTAACCAGCGCAGTCAACAATGGGATACGAGAATTATTCCTTGAGACCTGGGCGTCTTGTAGCAGGTCCAAAGTAGATCTTCTGCCGGCTAAGAGTGACAGGATGCCATGTTGTTAGGATGGGGGGACTCGATATGGCTTTCAAGCCAAGCTGAGGCCGAACGAAATCTCCGTGTCAGAGAAGCGGATAGGGGACTATGTGGAGACAGTTTTCTGAGGATGCCATGACGACAGCTTAGCCATCCCAATCCGGTCGCCTGCCGGTGGAATGCAAAGCTTTCTCTGGCTCTAGTGACTCTAGTGCTGTTGGAATGCTGCCTAAATCTGCCTAACATTCTCCAGGTTTCACAGTATTAGTATTACCTCAGAAACTGTTGAGACCTGCTCTTGGACATGCCGGGGTCCAAACTTGAGACAGCATTTTCAATGTTTTTTCGGGACTGGGGCATTCAGGCTTTCCACATGTTGCTCTGCAGCATCCCTGACGTTACCCCCCCCGCCCCCCCCCATTTCATTTAAAACAGTGCCGATTGTATCCACCCCACATTTTATTGTTTTTTTCGTCGAACGAGCCTGTTACCCTCACTGCGACACTTACGGAAGGGGTACCCTCAGTGGATCCCTATGGCTTGATGCTCTTTACACAAAGGAACACAAAAGATAAAACAAAGATATGACAGGCTGACAGATGCTGAAAGAAGAACATAGTAGAGCATGCCCATAAACAGTATGGTCTAGTGTACGTACACATATATGTTTGATTTATCTTTGTACTTCTTCGTGTAAAGGGCTATCAACCCACTATGTTCGGACCCCCCAACCCCTGGCGCAGTTCTTGGAAAACAATTACAGGTGGTATCCCCACATAATATAACTCATGATTTCTTTAAGGTGCTTATGAGTTGATGCCCCTTTTCTGTGCTATTCTAGAACGGCTAGAACCAAGTTCTGGGTTCATAGCACCCAATGCCCCAATTCTGTGTTAGAAAAAGGGGTGGATACGTCACTGTTAGAACTTGAAGGGGGATTCTGCAGCGCAGGAAGGCAAGATGACTCGTTGGCCATCTATCTTCCTGCCTGGCCACGGAATGCGACGCTTTCTCGTGCCTGATGCTTCTGGCCTGCTCTGCCTCGAGTTCTCGAGGTTGCACCACAGGGCCTCGGAAACTGTAAGACATGTTTATGGACATCCAGAGGTGCAACCTCAAGATGACCGTCCGATAAGAACTTCTCACTAAACATGAGATTTTCAGTGCCAGTGATACAGACTTGCCCCAACCTGCCTTGCAACTTTAGAATGACATTACAATCCAGCTTCAACTCGCCACCTTCAGCTGCTTGCAATGCTGTTGTGCTCCACGCAATTTGGCAGGTGGCGAGGGTTGCCATTTGCCTGTGTCCATAGCTGAGCGCATGATGGGACTTCAGGGCCTTCTAAGAGACTTTGACTCCTCTATTGTAGGTGTCAGAATGCAGTCCTTCTTGAGAGGAATCTTGTTTTGGATGCTGTCGTGCGCTGTTAACTGTTGTGGGTACACCTTCCGAGGCGTTTCCTCGCGTGGGGGGAGCTTTCGTACTTCAGGGTCTTGGTTCACGCGCGTGTTTGGGGAGAAGCCTGTTCAGTAATCAGTAGTCCTGCACCCGGCATCGTAGAGATAGTGCAGACCTCACTCGCTTCATCGCAGCTCCCAAGTCCCAGCCCTGAACAGAAGCCACTTGAGTCTTCTTCATGTTTGCCGCTCATGGCCCAGCATGAGGGCAGCATCTCGCTCGCCTCGCCGCTCCTCGGGGCAGCTGCCCTGGGGCCTCTTGAAGAAACAGCTTCATCCTGGCTGCAAGGCACAAACCACGGTTGCATGAGGGGCTTATGCTTGCTATTTATTCTGCCCACCCTTGCTTGAGGTGCGTTTGAAGGCCCTGCATGTCCAGCGGAACGGCCAGGCAGGCATTGTCGAAGATTATGTGCGGGCGAAGCAGCGATGGCGGGTTCGACTTGTCGCGAGCGGGAAGTCGCACGACTTCAAGTCCGAGAACTTGGAGATTGAAGAGCCAGCTGACAGACCACCACCTGAAGATTGGGTTGGTCCTACCACGGAGGTAGAGGTCGAACCCAAGGCCGCCTACAAGGAGGAGGTAGAGGAGCCCTTGAAGCTGACGGCCCTTGCGGCAGGTTGCAAGGTGATGCTTCACGGTCTCAAGGGCGCTGCAGAGCTGAATGGCCAGAGGGGCGAGGTCGAATCTTTTGTGTCAGAATCTTCAAGGTGGCGTGTGAAGTTGATGAGCGGGAGCGTGAAGGATCTGAAGCCGGACAACCTCCGCCTTCTCACAGCAGAAGAGCTAGATGCATCCAACACGGCCTTGTCAGAGCTTGATGCACTTGAAGCTGATCTAGGGATAGACTTTGCAGTCACCACTGGAGATGCTTGTGGACCAGATAACAGGTTCATCATTGAGGAGAAGCTTGGCGAAGGCACCTTCTCAACAGTCTATCGATGCAGAGACGCTGCCGCTGCTGGTGCGCAGTATGCGGTGAAGTTCACCAGGCCGTTTGTTTTTGGCAAGCTGGCCCCTCTAAATATTCGTAAGAAGTGGACAGTGCATTGTAGCCTCATGGAAGGTCCAATGAGCAGACGCGCAGGGCGCTGGAACGGGAGATCAAGGTCATGGGCCAGCTGATCTCCAAGGCTTCCATGACTGGTCTGAATTGAGAGTGGGAAGCTTGGGTAGGTTGAGTTCAATACCATGCTTTACCACCCGGATGCTTGAAGATCTTGAAGGAACCGTCAATGCCAGTTGTTTGCTGAGCTTGAGATGTTCGCATCCTTGACCGGCATAATGCAAACGAGCAGAAACAGAGGGCGAGCAGCACACAGAGGATGGGAACTTTGAAGCTTCACTGCGAGCCTGCGTGTTTTGTGGAGCAGGAGATTCGCTAGCATAGTGTCCATGTAACATTATACGTTCTGGAGGCTGAGTTAATCGCCAGTTAAGGGCTGTTGACTGCAGGCCCAGGCAAGGGCTGACAAACTGACAGCAAACCAGTGGTGCTGCAGACTTCTGAGCTTATGAGAAAAAAACCATCAGGTTGGCGAGCGAGATGCTGAGGGCATGCGGGCCATCCTTCGGTTGGCTTTCTTTGAAGGCTTCCAGCACAAGGGTCGCCTGGCAGCTGTCTTCGAGCTCATGAAGTGCAACTTGCGGACTGCCTTGGCCAAGTATGGAGCTGGACCCTCTCTTGCAGAAGATAGGGCGATTGTAAGTAATTGAATGGAGTCGCCCATGCTTCTGGCAATTTCAGTTTCAGGCACTGTTGTTTCCAAGGAAAGGGGCTGCCTTTGCTGCCTACTGTTCGAGACTTCGGGCGGCAGCTATTCCTGGCACTACGTGTGTTGAGGCGAGGTGGCTTGATCCACTGCGATGTCAAGCCTGAAAACCTGCTGCCGGGCCTCAAGGATTTCGTCAGGGTTGTCTTGGCTGGGTCGATTACTGTGTTTGGAACGAGCTGATTGTTCTAGCGTCTGTCAAACTGAAACCTGACAACCTGACATTGTGACCAGTCTAGCCGAGCCTTAGCTCGCTACTTGGCTAAGGCTGCTGGGCAGTGACAACTCCACAATCAAGCTGAGCGATTTCGGAAGTTGTCAGGGCCAGCCGGACCGGCTGCAGTCTGAACCAGCCTTAATGGGCATGTTGGTGTAGTATGGCCACCAAGCGCAAATTGGAGGTCGATGGTTGCTGCGAGTGTGCCATCTCAGGATCAGCTTATGCCGCGAAACTACCGTGCTCCAGACGCTTGCACGATACAAGACTAGGCCACAAAAAAGACTGCAACAGCATGCCAGAAGACGGCTGTAAACACGCTGAGGAAATTATCGTTGGGCAGGCCTCAAGCTCAGTCGAAAATTGTAGGCATCAGGGTGTTCGCTTAATCATTGCCACGACGCCGGCTAACTCAATTCAGCCCTCTTGCCATCAAGGATTATGACTACTCTGTTGATATTTGGAGTGCCGGCGCCACCTTGTTTGAGCTTGCCACCGACTCGGTGCTGTTCAAGGCAAGTTGTGCTTTCGACAGCCCACTGGCAAAGTCTCCTCGTGCGGAAGCGAAGTTGAAGCAGGGAGAGACCAACAACGAAATGCTTCACGCCATGTTCAAGGTCTGCGGATCTTGTACGCTGCATGACGGCAACATTGCGGGCCTTCTCTTAGTTTGCATGCGCCACAATGTTTGAGGAAGTCCTTCGCGGTTGGCGGGGCCTTTACCCACAACCACTTCAGCGCAAGCGGAGAGTTTTTGAATGCCAAAGGCGGACTTGCCATGCGGAAGACACTCTTGGTACACTGACCTGCCAGCGCTCCTGTGCTCATAGCAGCTGCTAAGAGGTGATTTGGCCATCAACTCATCAAATCCTCGTGTCCCCTGGCTGCAGATGACATGCTGCGCAGTTAGGTATGGAAGACCGGGAGAGAGCATGCACAGGTCGTGCCGCTGGAAGCCTTCGATCCGCCCAGCCGACCGCTACAGACACTGCTGGAGGATGCGGCGCGGCTTCAGAATGTCCATCATCAAGCTTGCAGGCCTAGCATAGCTAAGGTGCTCAAAAGACCACCGAAGGGTGTGACAGCTAGCCGGCATGAAGGCTGGCCGAGGGCTCGGGAAGGTTCGAAGTTTTGGTAGCTTGTCGCGAATAATCAAGCGCTGCTGCCGTTCGTGACTCCTGGAACCATCATCTTCAATCAAGCGGATGGTTAACCGCAATCTGTCAGCCGCCCTAGAGAGTCTGCATGCTCAAGATCTCCGAGCAAAAGGTTCAAGACATGTGAGCATGCAAGTGCGCATGCTCACGCAGGCCTCGTCGGCCACTTCAGTGACCTGCTCGTCCAGTGCTGCTCGCTCATGTCTGGGACTGCATCACAGTGGTTGCATCAAGGGATCTTTGACCATTCATGTGTACAAATCTAGCTGTTTTTGGGGAGAGCTGGGAGCCCTATCCCTGGCCCTCCTGCTTTGAAGCGGTTCTCACTTATCTTTGCGAGTGCCAATGCCAGAAGCCTATGTATTTACGAGGCACCAGCTTACCCCAGACAATGGTACCGGAGTCTCAGTCTCCAGTTGTCCCGGCCGTGTGGCAGGAATAATTCAGACTAAGAGTCTTTATTAGACCACAGATACGGATGAGGCATCTCCATGTCCATGAAAGTGCTCACCAAATTTCTTGCCTGACGTCTACTCGTTGGGCTCAATGAGATCCCAAACCATTCCGATGTCAACAGTCCGACGTCGGATGACTGTCTCTGTCTTGTGTTCTTCCTGCAGCTTTAGCGCATAGCGATCCACGTTGAGCAGTGGAACGCGCTCGATGGGAGCAAATTTGCTGACGTGAAATATCCGGCACACTAGTCTTGCTTGAGTGAGGGCCAGACCTCAAACTGGTAAAGTAAAGCCCTGCCCCTGGTTTTTGCTCCGGGCTGAGGCTTGCGAATGGCCCCTGGGTCCAGGCCAGCTCCAGAGGCAGCTTTAGGTCACAGGTTCTTCCAAAAGGGAGCGTGACTTGGACATGCTGTCAATCTCTGCAACATGCGGGAAAATCATGTGCATCGCCATCCTTGTTCCGGTTTAAGCAAAGGCAAAGAAGCCAACTCTGTGGCAGTGAAGCTATTCATGAGGTGCAACAGGCTTATAATGTGGTTTCATAGGCTGAACTGGCAGGAAGGTCAGACCAGGAGTTGACAGCATCAATCAGAATCAAAAAATGTTACCTGTGCAGATACTTAGAGTAGTACTGCAAGTACTGTCAGCTACGATGACAGATAATATTGCTGGCGAAAATTTTCGGAATTGATTGAGATCATCGGAAAATACAGCTCAGAAACTGTCACCAACACGAATCCCTGCACATCATGGAGTTTGACTATGTTTGACTCCTGCAAATGTTTTCATGGACAGCAAATGAGCAAAGGTCAGATGTAACGGGATGTTATGCAGGGAAATACTCGATGGCAACAATCTGCAAACAGCGTGGAAGCAAGAGCAACTTTCGTCTCAAGTTTCGTAGTCGCTCATAGGTCGCGCAAGATGTCGATGAATGGCCCGACACCTGTGCGTACCAAGCATCACAGGTCTTCCACGTTCGATTGACGTGTGCATGGAGGACAACAATTCAAACGCATGTCCATGTGGATTACATACAGGTGCGCTTGATTGCGAATGGCGCCCTCTGGCCATATGGTCGCGCAGGATGAGCTTGGCCTCTCATTTCATTCAGCCCTTCCAGCAGCGGAAGGATCATAAACCCCCGCCCATCTTCTGGAACGCAACTGACGCGCAAAAGCTTGGAAATCGGTAAGAAGACGGTACACGTTGCGTTTGCGCTTCAGTTCTCGCAACAGCCATGGTCCTCGTATAAGTTGGGGGGCCGTATCACAACCATATTATGTATGGTAAGGGTCCGACATGGCTGGCTTGCTTGTTTCACGATTTGTGCGTTTTATAGTGTTTGCGGAGGGTGGCGAAAGTCGCGGCGAAAGAGTCCGTGCTTTGAGCGGGGTGGCAGTACGACGCCTGATGGACAAAGAAGATGTGGATGTGATGGCTGCCATGTTAACCCCCTCAGGAAAATGGTCGCGCTTACTGCGGCCATTCTGTTCTGCCTTCGGATTATCATGAGTTTGCATGTCCAGTCTGCAACGATTTCACATTCGCCTGGATGAGGCACACATCATCATTGGACGGCGAAGCGAAGATAAATTATGGCAGGAAGCCCGTTCAGAACATAACTCATAGCCCTTGATCAAGGAGGATATGACCCGGTTCGTGCAGCGCCCTGCCACAGCGCGATCTGGTTGAATGGGCATCGCGCACGTGAAGAGAAACCGGATGCGCAAGGTTGCCACTGGATAAATAGTCGCTAATGTCGGACATGCACATGGGCCATCACACGCCGAGAATCGCGCATGACAGTATCCCTTGCAGGTCAAAGCGTCACCCTTCCACGTTACTACTGCAACATAGCTAAGCTCAGAGCGCGGACTGCAACACCCAGAAAGCCCAGACGATACCTACATGCCAGTTGTCCATTGCGAAGTCGGCCTGATGTGGGCTGCGTTCTATCTGGCTCGGATGTGTGTGAAAGCTCGCCATGGATGCAAAGTATGGAGGGCAAGCAGCAACCCGTCGGGAAGCCAATGCTTAACCAGCCAACCCTACCAGCTGAAGCAGGTGTCAAGTAGCTATTTCAGAACCTTTGGGAGCACCCAGAAAGCTTTGCGAAAGCTACCCAACACCTTCAACATGAGTTGCACTGTCCCGCATGTGTACTTCAGCGCCATGCGGTGGCATGGGAGCCTGCAAGCGCGAACTGCCCGCCGAGCTCTGGGCTTTTCCTTGGTCCTCGTGTGAGCCCTAGCAATCTGGCATGGATTTTTGTTCCAGAGGCGGATTTAAGGATACAGCACTCTAAATTTCTGGGGCCTGCAGTTCTTGCAGGGACATGATCCTAAACAAGGCGCTGCAAATGCATGTGTCAGAGGCTGCCCTAGGTTTGCACTGTAAAAGGAAGCGGCCGACTGATCTTTTCATATTATGCGCAGCTGCTGACACGACTCCGCATGCTTAATTCAGCAGGTAAAAAAGTCAAGGGAAACCGGCGGGGCCCCCTTCAGATATTCAAGGCTTGTGTGCTTTCCATGAAATGCGACAGTTATCCACCACCCAACAGCCTGCGCGTGGCATGCCTGGGCTTATGCTGAACCGGCCCCTTAACATGCTCCATAGCTAGGATGGGGTGAAACTACTCAAGGCCTGGTCGCGACAAGTGTACAGCTTCTCTGCAACAACAGTTTTGCAGCAACACTTGTTCTGCTTTTTCTTCGCGAAGAGCTTCGAGGGCTGGCCTGATGGTTGGCGCAGCTCTATCTGAGAGCTGGAAATAGCGACAATACGTGATCCAAGGGCTTCGAGGGACAACCTGATGTTCACACCTGGTCTGATTGTCGATGCCTGGCACATGGCTGCTGAGCGTTGTTTCTACGGATTATACGGATTGCCCCAATTTGCTCAGTGCCGGCTGTGGGAAGGATGCAATGGAGGCATTCACTTTTCTTGTGTCTCCCTCAATAATCAATAGGTGGCCAGGCCAGGAAGTTAGCAGATATCTTGAGGTGCATGGTAGGATTGCTGAATGACCGCCGGATAGTCGCCCATAGGACTTATACTAATGAGAACATTCAGGTCGGATCATTGAGCACGTGTCTTATGGGCAACATCTTGGGATCCTAATGTCCGTCATCTCTGCTGTCTGAGTCTGTGTGAAGCTCTGGGTCCGAGACTCTGAGGTGATGACGTTGTAAGAAATATGGAATTTTGTCCTCCTTCTGAAAACCTGGCGCCACCTAAAGGTCCTTTGCTTCCTGCCGCTCTGTTCCTGGACGTGGGCCTGGCGTGGGGCCGAGTCTCCAAGGGGTTTCTGCATAATTAAGTTTATGGTCTAGGATTGCTATTGTTCCATTCTAGGGCGATTGTGTGATGTCAAGAGCTGTGCTCCCGGCCTTGCCATGCCTTGTCAGCATCTGCAGCTGCAGACTACGCCAGATCTGTTGCAAGTCATTCTGGCTCGCGCGCCTGGATAATTCGCAGTTTCGGTAGGGCCGTTTTCGGAGGCAAGTCACTAGATTCACTTGCAACAGCTAGAGAAGGAGCACTTCCCTGTTGAGACTGTGTTGCGCTAGCTGACTCTTAGGCATTAGGGGTGAAGGGCAAAGGAAGCTGCAGGCAAATGCCCCAACCTGCTCTGGTTCAGTGCAAGTTTCATATTCATCTTCTGTCAGGCCAGGCTTGGAGCCAGCAGGAACAGGCGTGGATGCATAGTCATGAAGCTGTTTCCGTGTCATTATTCGCTTGAACAAGACAAGTTTGTGCCTTACCAAGAGCTGCCTTGCAGCGCCGCTCGGCTCTATGCACAAGTCTCTTTGAGGTACACAGAGACAGCCTGAAAGCTAGAAGCTTCGTGAAGCAGCAGAAGCTACACGTGTAACTTTGTGAGGTGAAAGTCACCTGCAACTAAGCAGCAGGTGATCTACAGCATGTGGCCCACGTTACACAAGATGGGCAGTTTGGCTCGGATGGGAAGGCTTGCTTCTGGAGGCTACCTGCAGTCAGCGCAAACGTTTCCTTGTGACCGTTTCTCCCTCGGCAATCCTCCCGCTCTTTGTTGTCATTTGCCTTCTAGATCTATAGACTGGATGGCATTGGAACGGCAAATGAGTCAAAGGTAAGTCAGTTGAAGGCAGGAAGCTTATCACCCTTTGCTGTCCCAGGAGGAGCTGGAGTCCGTGCCACGTATTCCAAGCACGCGAGGCGCACTTCTCAAGTTCTTATCCTTGAGCTTGGAACGCATTGAAGAATATCCATATCCAAGACCTGCGGCAGCTTTGAGCAAGTGGCCACGCCTCTCCATGACCAAGCTTTCTGCTCGTCTCCTATCATTCCGCAAGCTTGCGGGCATGACAGGTTCTGCATCCTGGCAGAAGCTCAATTACCAGCCGGGCTGCGTGCGTCACCAGCTGAGGATTCATGAAAGCTATGCAACGAGCAGAGAGTCAAATAACGGATATCGTTTTGTCATTCGAGATGGTGCCCGAAGAGCCCTCGATGAAGCAGTCCAGTTGGCTGACGCAGAGCCGAGGTCCAAGACAGTGCCAGCAGCTCAGCACAGAATTCTGAGAAGCTGGGATACTTGCCGCAGCCCATTCGTCTGATTGCGATACAGGGCGGTGCAGCTTCAGTCTGCCGCGGAACAACTGAAGCCGAATCTCGGCAGCAGGGCGCAGCCTTTTTTTCGTGCCTGTTGTTTTGTGTTGTTGGTAGCATGCAAAGAAATTTGCAGTCGCGTGATGTTCGTCTACAATTTTGGTCATTGGGCACGCGTGTCTACACGTTTGACTTTGTTGAAGCTTCTTCAGTCG